TGAGTCCGACCGAACTTACCCAGAGTTCGGTCGGACCTTTTCCCGATCTCAGCCAATTTTGTACGGACTATTTAAGGTCCTTTTGAGATCGTTTAAAAAAGGACGACGGGAGAAGGAGGACAGTAGCCCAGTTTTCAGAAACCTCTCTTAGTTTGAAACATTCCTTAGGATTAATTTAGCTTAGTTTTCATCAAATCAAATCATTGTATTAGTGAAATTCAAGAATTATTCTCAAAGTTGGGCAATTTGTATTCAACATTTGAAGCTTCAATTAGTAATTTCTCCAACCTTCTTCCTTTTAATTTCATATTTCATTTGGTATTTGCATGTTATTTAAATCTTCTTAGTTCTTGGTAATTTGTTATTGGATGATAGTTATTTCAATTGTTAACCACTTTTCCCCAATTATTGAAGTATTTAGAACCCTAATTCTTGATTGCATGTTGATAAACATGAGTTGTGAGTAGTTTTCTTGCTAGGGGTTGGGTGAAGCTCGACCTTTTGGGTTAACTATGCAAATGTGGGAGAAGCATTGATGTTTGTATTGCAATTAAATTGATTATATGAGACTGCTTGTTAGTTCCTCATGATAGGTTTAGCTACCCTTGACTAAGGAGCTTGATAGTATGATATGCCTAATTTGACATGGAAGTGTAAATTGAGTACTTCATTACTTATTGTAATTTGATTATGTATCATCTATTGCTAAACTAATGAGGAATCTAAGTTTAGTAGTGTGAGTTGTTTTCTAATTGCATGAGGTTAATTTTACATATAGTCCTTGCTATATCTTGTTTTTTTTACTCCCCGTTTGCCTATTTGCCTTGGTTGAGTGGATCTCATTCCCTAGTATCTTTAATTCATTGATTTAGAACCATAGTTTGTTTGTCTTCTTGACGAACCCCTATTCACCAATTGACTTCGAGCTAGCTTAAGTGTAAAGATCTTTGGCAATCATATCCTGTTCCTTGTGGACCGAACTCTTACTTGTCATTATGCTTGGTTTGTAAGGTGTTTGTTAATAAATGTGTTTGATTGAGTGTGGAATGTACGACCGTTCTAACGCCCATCACCCCCTTGGCCGGCGCTTCTGTTTTTGTGAGCGAACAAAAGTCCGTCGCCTCAATGTAAGCTTCGGCTTCCTGCAGAGCACCTGTGTATGTCCGAATCTTTTTCCTTACCAAGTCAAATTTAAAACCATTGTTCCTTAATCCCCGGAGAAATTCAGAGTAAGCCATTTCGTCCGGCAGATTATGAATTTGGGCTTTTTCTTGGTTGAATCGTTGGACGTACGAGCGTAAGCCCTCAGTTTTTCCTTGGACGATTGTCGCCAAGTTAAGACTAGTCTTTCGAGGCGGTATATAGTATGAAAAATTTCCCACGAACAGCAAACTAAGAGTAGTAAAACAATTGATACATCCGGCCGGCAAACTGTTGAACCAATCCTGCGCCACACCTTTCAGAGTGGCCGGGAAACATTTGCACCAAGTAGCATCATCTACGCTTTGTAATTACATCAAGTTCCTGTACGAGGTGATGTGCTCTTCTGGGTTGCCCGTGCCATCATAGGCTCCCACAAGTACACTCTTCACCTTTGGTGGCTGAGAGGCATTTAAGATATCTTGCGAAAACGGGGGCGGCTTATCTCCCAGAGTAAGTAGGCGCATCTGCCAATCGATGGGTTGCGGTTGCACGGACGGTCCAGCCAGACAGGGAGCATGTCCGTACACCTGTCCGTATGGCCCATATTGTCCATATGTCTGGGGGTTCGGCTGCATTAAGCCATTGAACCCCTAAGGAGGCTGATATTGTAGTGATTGGGCTATAATGGGAGTTGGAGCATGAAAGGCTGGAATAGGAGTTGGGGTGCGGACCGCCTGACTTCCGCTGGAGATGGTCGTGTTGGTATGCTGGGAAAGAGAATGATGTGAAAAATCATCGGGCATAGTTGGGGTTGAGGCCGTGTCCGAGTAGGCGGCGCGCTCCCGCTGCTTATGCCGAAGATAATCTCTTGCGTCCTTCCATCGTCTGGACGGCTCAGGCTCCTCTCTTTGAGGCTGTCTACTCCTCCCCCCAGTCGACTGCGTTTTCGCCAGCAAGTCAGAGAAATTAGTTCGTGGCACCCTCGGGGACCTTCCGGTCGGCCTTCGAAAAGGAGTGTTTCCAGCGTCCGTTGCATGGACCGCTTTGCTGTGCGTCTTCTTTGGAGCCCTCTGCTCCTCTCTCCTGGGCGGATGCCTAGAGGTAGAGGCTCCATTTTCAATTTCTTTTCCGAGTTTGTTAAGCGCGGCCTTAAGAGAGGCAGCGGTAACAGGAGGGTCATCAGCTTCTTCAAATGTGGCTATCAGAGGATCGCTAGTACGGATCGTAGGGATTAAATCCTCTACATGTCCATCCTCGCCTGGATGAGGTGTCTGACCGTCTATCGCCATAACGTACGAGTATCCCCACAGACGGCGCCAAATGTTTCGGGTGTTTTTTGGATTTCCTGGGATACTGGTCACGCTCTTCTGGCAATGAGTCGGGCGCACCTGCAAAACAACGAATATTCCGATCAACGAAATATTCGCCTCCGACGATCAAGTCAGTGATCAGAACGGAAAAGGCTAGAGAGAGAAAGTAGAGAGAAGTTGGAGCTGTTTAATGCTCTGTTGTTTTAAATTGTCTGAATCCCCCTCCCATCATAAATGATTGGGGTATTTATAGGGGTGGGACTCGTGCCCCTCTCTAGGGTTTATACCCTAGATTTGCGTGACGTGATTGGCCGTGCAATCAGCGAATGCCACGTGCTACTCTGGGGGCGCCGTTTTGCGGCTTCCATTGTTATCTCTCGGGATTTGGGCCCTGGCGTTGCTAGGGTTTTCTGGCATGTTGATTTTTAAGGGAACAAATGTCCTTAACACATGGCATCTTCTCGTGACGACACGTGTCACCCTCTGACTGGGCCACGTGTCGCGACGAGACTGGCCTGCGGCTTTAAGGGCTCTAAATTACGTGGCATCTTCCCGTGGCGACACGTGTCGCCCTATAACTGGGCCACGTGTCACTATGGGATTGGTCCATGTATACGGGGTATTTTTATCCACAACAGTATTTTTTTTTAGGCCCCTAATTTTTACCAAGTATAACCATTTTTGGGCTTTCTTACTTTGGGCCCTGGGCGGTTGCCCCACCTGCCCCGCCCCAGCGACGGCCCTGGAAGTGACATGGCGTAAATTGGAGGGGTCAACGTGACACATTGAGTTTTTATAAACGTCTTTTAATATATTAGTATAGATAGATATTATTTGCTTATTTGTTGATTAAATTAGCAAATGATCCCGGTACACCCGAGTGCATTTAACAAATTCTACCATGGGTGAATAACTTTCCTTATTTTGTAATTCCCACAAATTGTAAGTTCCTCCATTTATACTTTAAACAACTTTTGTGTGTGGCTGGCCACACCATGTGGCCAGCTAACACACATTAACCCCTGATTGACTAACCGACTGAGTAATCCTTGATGGAATAGCTCCTGATCAACCTAGTAACTCTTACTGACCCAGTAACTCCTGACCAAGTAACTCATGACCGGCATAGCAAAATTATCCTTCTGATCAATCTGAAATCCAAAAAAAAAAAACCTTGAAAAAGTATCTTCATATTATCAATCAGTGTGAATTAAGTGTCAAAAACAATTCCCATCAAAATTATCCTTATGATCAATATGAAATCAAATTAATCATGAAAATTCGTACACGAGCAATTGAAAGTCGCCGAGAAAAATCATATTGGCTTAACGGAAGGCTGAAGAGATTTAGGCGGGAATAGACGGTGCGGCATGCTAGTTGATAGTCGTCGAGCAGCGTCGAATCACAATCGAAGATTTTTGGGGTTTAAGGGTGAGAGGTGGAGTTGTGAAGTAAGAAAATAAAAGTTTATGGCAATCACATATGAAAGTTTGTTATACTTTTTAGTGTCAACCAAACAATACAATCAAAAGGTAATTCATAGAAATTTTGAGTGTCCAAGACTTCCTTCGCCTCACGTTATAGATACTGTTTTCCTATTTTAAGACTCAAAATATTATTCCTATTTATTTTAGATAGTACAAGTATGGAAAAACCATTATACCCTCATTTTTTTTAACTTTATTAATTAAACTCCCTAAATTATCCTTTAATTTTACATTTGCCTTGTATTTTTTTTTCCACTTTTTCTCTCTAACTTTTGTCTAGGGATTCCAACGCGCACGATACGAGCGGTATAGCTAGCCCTTTGAGAAGAAATATTATCAATGTTATTTATGACTTATGTCGGTTTGTGTATAATATTTTATCAAAGCTATTTGCATAAAAATGATAAATGTGTTGGATGTTGTGCAATGTTCTAAACTTTAGATGAACTACTTTAAAATAACGCCGATATAAAAAAAACAATCTTTCGTTGTTTAGTGACTAATGTTGTTATGTAATTAAACCATAACCCCTACTTCCTCCGTTCTTTTTTACTTGACCCGTTTTGACTTTTACACTATTCACCATCCCTCTTTTGACCGTGTTTTGTGAATAATATGTAAGGAAAAAATATTTATGTTGGATCATTTTGAATTCGTCTCAATAAATACTATCATAATATATGACTTATATATTTTTTAATTATGGAGAATTAAAGTTATTGACCGTTAAAGTTCTGCATTGACAAACGTGATAAAAGAAACAGGTTAAGTAAAAAAGAACATAGGAAGTATTAAATATAGAAAATTCTAGACTTTTGTTATTTCATTCCTCCTTTTAATATCTGATTAATTAATTGATAAAATTGTAAAATTAATTACGTATGACGATAAGAAGGTAAATAAATATTTTAAGACGTATAATAGTTCATGCACTATTTATAAGAGTAATCTCTCACTTTTTATAAGATATGGGATTATATTTTTCATTTTATTTTCTTTTAATGCACTTCACTTATGTAAAAAAAACACAAACAAATACTATAAAATGAGAAAGAGAGAGTAACACCTATAAAATGAGACAGAGAGAGTAACACCTGAAGATTTAAAACTACTTGTAGAAGATAATTACAAAAGTACAATACTTGATTTACAAGGAAAAGAAAAAATTCTATACAAACACGTCTTTCCTGTTGATGATGCTATTATTACCCATTGGAAATTGGAACCACTTACCTATCTGCACAAACGAAAATGACCGAGTAGTGAGTAATTACTGCAAAGTGCAAACTCATTAAATCCATCATCATTCATCTCAAGCAAAACGCCTAAACCTTGAGCTTAAGCTTCACGTGCGGCCAATAGTTTATTGGCGTTGACACATCTACAAAAAGTCAACTCCCCCAGGCACACGTTAGTGCTGGTTCAAATTATTCCACATAGTTGCACACTCCCTGCGGGCAAACCCCACCCGGCGCTCCGCCAAGTCGTAAACCACCTCAAAACCTTGCTGTTGATAGTTTCCGAGCGTAGCGCCGGGCCCACTCTCCTCCTCCTCCTCCTCTCCAGCATCCATCATCATCAAGCATCCCACCTTTTTACCCTTTTTATTCTTCTTTTCATCGCCACCATCCATAAACTCGTGAAAGTAATTTTTCTTGGGGAGCACCACACTCGAATTCCTCCCGAAATGCAACGTCAACGACGGAATCACTACCCCCAACCCCAAGCTCCCTTTCCCACCATGCATATAAAAGCAGGGCCTCAATCCTGTCATGGATTCTGTTTGCGTTGCCCGCTTTAACACCTTTCCTGCTCGCCGTTCCAATTCTGCTGCCACCGCCTTGTACAGCTTGCTTGGCAACATGGTGTACGTGGTCCCACTATCCACCACAACTCCCCCGTTTCCCTGTATGTCTACTCTCCTCAAATTCTCCGGTGCTTCAATCCGTCGACTTCCAACAGATATTGCCTCCAATCCAACAGAGTAGAAGTAAGGATGTTTGGGGTTTTCCAACATGGGAGTGTAGACATATTGATCAATTTCAGTCTCCTTGTATTTGCCGAGAATGAGGGGACTTGGGTGTCTGAGTTTGGTGGAGTCAAAGGAGTGAGAAACCAAACAATAAGAAAATTGGTTACCCAAGTCAGGGGATAAGTTAGCTAATTGGGCTGGAAGAGACAGAGAGCCTCTGCCAAAACCAGCAACTCCGATGGGTTCACCTAGAGTAGAGTGAGCACAACCAAAGGTAAAATTCTTTAAATTCAAGGGCTTATTATTTGAGGTGGAAGGCATAAGTATATTCTCACTGTGTAACTCAGCAATCAAGCTACCGTCTCCATAAGCGTAGTAGAAAGAGGGGCAACTGTACTTCGAACAGTCGGATATTTCGATTTCATCAAGAGGACACTTTGAGATGGCACACAGGTTAGAGGAGGAGAGGGAGGAGTGAGCGGAAGAACAAGCAGGAGACTTGCAGGAGAGGAGAGAGGATTTGGAGACGTTGAGAGGGGAAAGGGAGCCAGGGGGGTACTTGCCTTCACAGAGGATGCATTCAAAGGGAGAACAAGGGAACCAAACCATATCACTTCCAGTGTCCATATAAACAGAGAGGGTTTGGGATTTGAGGGTGAAGGTAAGCGTATAATCGCTTCCGGGAGTGAGAGGAAGAGATACTTGTTGGTGGTGGTTTCTGTTTTTGTTTGTATGGCGACGGTGTCGAGCAGCTGAGATGGTGGCGGTAGACTTCAAGAGGTGGTGGGCAGATGAGAATTGGGTTTTGGAGAGTGAGTGGGTTAAAGGGAGTAATTGTTGGGATGTTACTGAGACCGTTGAAAGAGATAGGAAGAGAGCAAAGCATGCAAAGAGGAGTTTAGAGGAAGCCATAGACATAAACATGGTGACTCTGTTTTCTTGAGAAAATGAGGAGAGAAAGAAAGAAGATAGGGGTTTTGAATTTGAGTAAGCGGAGATATAAAGAAAGCAGAGGATGGGGTAAGGTAAGGAGGAAGTTTCTGGTAAAATTGAAGGGTTACAGCTATACACTTCAGTACTAGTCCACTCCACTCGACTCGGTAGATATTTCGGGTATCAAGAGAAGGCAAAACTTTAGAACTATGAATTGTGTGAATTGTCTAAAATGTTACAAAGGAAACATTCCGTATATGTTGAACTAGACAGGAGCCAAAAGATATTAGACAAGAGCAGTGGGGTATTAATGTATTACAGTCTTGTTGCTTTTTTATTTTTGATGCTGTTGGTTTTAATTTATTAAGAAGGTGGTAATTGTGTTCAAGATAAGGATAGTTTTAGTTATCTCCATCTAATACGAAGTCTGCTAATACTAATACAAAAAGTCGGCTATTGTAATAGGAAGTGGAGTACTTGTTATTTACTTCCTCCGTTCTTTATTACTTGACCCGCTTTGACTTTTACACTATTCACCACCCCTCCTTTGACCGTCTTTTTTGAATAATATATAAGGAATAATATATTTATGTATGATCTTTTTGGATTCGTCTCAATAAGTACTATCATAATATATAACTCTTATAATTTTTCTTTTTGGAGAATTTAAGTTATTGATCGTTAAAGTTATGCATTGGCAAGTGTGATAAAAGAAACTGGTCAAGTAAAAAAGAACCGATATTGATTAGACCAAACCTTGATGGTTGCATTTCAACAAATTCCAAATTAAAATCAATCAAGCCTCTCATTAGTAACTAACTAAAACCAATAATCGTAAAAAGTTTAGTTAGATACATTATCTACTTGTTTGTACACCCATGAGTATCTCTTCTTATTTTGATAAATGTTTTTCATTTTATCATCAAATGAAGAGCAAAAACTAACCTTAGGTGAGTTGGGTGTACGTTACACCCGGGTGTATACTCCCTTCGTGTTTTAATAAGTGTTCAGTTTAACCAATACATAATTTTAGACAAATTAATTGACTTATATAAAATAAGAGATAAGTGGAGTAGTTGAGTATTAAAAATTGTAAAAGAAAGATAGTAGAGTTAATAGTTTATTAAAAAGTAATGAATGTTAGGATAAAGATATATTAAAAAAGTAGTACTCCGTAGTTGGTTAGAATATGGACCATAAAAAGAGAGATAATATTTTTACATAGCTTTTTGCCAAAAAAAAAAGTGTAACACTTATTAAAACAGAGGGAGTATAACAAATTCTATTATCTAACACTAGTAATAATAATAATAATAATAATAATAATAATAATAATAATAATAATAATAATAATAATAATAATAATAATAAAAGGGGAAAAGGGGGAAGAAAAAACAAAAGCCAGCTTTGCTGCATATTGCATGGCTCCAAAATCTAAATAAGTAAATACTCCGTAGTTAACACACACAAAGAAAAGGGCGCACGGGCATGTCAGGGTGCAACACATAAGCCGACGTCGAAATTCTTAGTTACAGTCCAAATTACTATAGTCGATGGTGCCATTTTGGTGCTAGCTTTTTTTTATATATTTTTATTTTGAAAAAAACAAAGATACAATTACAACAGTTGAACTTGCTTTTGGCATGCTATGCATTTTAAATTAAATTTTTTTTAAAAAGGAGAAAAAGACAGATTAAAATGAAGGATGAGGGCCGACGAATATAAAATATACTCGTATTCCGTATAAAATAGAAGGTGTTGTTGGCCTCTGTTGGCACTTCCACGACCACCTACCCACCCAAACAAATTTTTTTTTTTTTTTAAAAAACTCAATTATTTGAACCCTTTCTTCTCAATCACCAATCACCTATGATTATTCAAGCCTAACTTGCTTACTTTCTCCGGGCCTCTACAAATATGCTTGGTATTAAATACTCGTGACAAAAAGGCATCAATGCTGAAATAAATAGCCTAGGTATTGATTTGTTATCATCATCAGGTTAAGGTCTTAGACTCATCATTCATCTACAACTTACAGTACAAATGGCTTTACGAGGACCAGACCCTACACCCTCTACAATTAACAATAATTTACCTGCAACCATAGTTATCTATCTCTACTTATTCATTCAACTACTATCCCCACTGCTCATACACCTTAATACAGTACTGCTTATTCAACTAATTTACTTGTCGCAACCAATCATCACCACTATATTCATATAAATAATCTATTTAACGAACATAATAACAATAATTCATCTTTGTCCACAATCGTAGTCTGTTCAACCTCCATCTTTCAATTTTCAAGGAACTGCCTGTAACTACAACCTTATTACTTGCTACCCAGATATAGCAGCAGATTACAACTTCATACTGCATAACTACCATACCACACTAGTACATCACACACCTATTCAACCACCACCCAACTTTCCCTATTGCCATTTGCCAATTCCACATCTAACGTACAGAACGACAACACTCCAACAGCTAACCTACGAAATGACGAAACTACTTGTTTAGTAGATCAATCAATTATAAAATAATGGTGGTCATAAGTGCAAATACTACTTGTAGCTATTTGCTCTACCCTTCATCCGACTGTATTATGAAAATTGTGACAAAAACTATTACTGCTGTGAACATTACAAGAAAAATCCAGCTGTATTTGATGTTTGACAATTATGCAGCCAGTTTCAATAATTCCACTGAAAGGGAGTGGTTCCAGAATTTTGACGGCCGTAGATAGTACGGTGGGGAATACTCTAAAGCTGCCAAAATCACTATAAATACATCACCACATATTGACTTTCTATGTCTAAAATTAGTAAAATCAAAAGGCCTTCTCTACTCATCCTGTCACACTAATATTAATTCTATTAAATAATTAGCCTAACTATACATTCAGCATCTTATCCCTTACACAATCATCCAAGTTCTAAATCCAACCACCTAAATCTGGATGTATTAAAAAAATGCTTATGCAAAAAGAGACGCATACTAAAGCAGTAATGCTTCAAGGGCCAAAACAGGGGATGCCTGTTGGATTATTCAACAAACACTTCAAAGCAGGGATAATGATGATTAAAGGGTTCTATATACAAACTTTAAGACTGAGAGCAACAGGGTTTCTTGGCCTATACATGGGAATATGGGATAGATGACTGCCTAATAAATGTAAAGTGAACAGCTAATTTCACAATAAGAACATCATTTCTATAGAAATCAGCTGTAAATGTGATTCTCCAATTATTATGTTGCATCCCAATTCAAAACATAAATGAAAATTTTGATGGATATGGATAAGAATAAGGCAATCTACAAAATATAGTAGAAAAATGCATAAAACCATTTTCTATCCAAGTCAATACTTCTCATCAGTGAGATCAGTCTGTCACTTCCAAAGAGTTTGAAAGGTAAGCAAAAACACTACTCATAAATCTTTTGTCTTTTTTCCTTTTAATTTTCTTCAAGATAAAAAAAGGTATATCTATATAAGCACAAACATTAAACTTGCAATTATCTTAAGTGGGCCACAACCAGTTCTTTAAAGAACAATTTAAGAGATAAGAAGAGGCAAAGAACCCATCAAAAAAGAATGGGCAAAGAGAGGGTACTACATGTATCGGATTAATGGCCCAGCAAGAAAAACAAAAAGAGATGGACCATGCTCATAAGCTGACTTGACAGTGGATATCATCCAACAAAAATTAAGGAAGCTTAAATGTTACTTGGTGAATTTTTTTTTCTCACCCTAGCTTATGATACTGCAGACATAGATGCAGTATAATGTAAAATGAAATTTATGCAGAATAAAGCGTATAGATCATACATCAGTTTTAGATGAACATGTACACTCAGGGTTAAAAAGAAGTAAATACCTAATCTTTAAGTAAGTTATTGAAAATAAGTCAATAGCCATGAGATAAATTGTAGGTTCAAGTCTAACTTCCATTAATTTTGGGAATATTGCTTGTTAAAAGGAGAAACCTTGGAAATTCCAACCGCTCCTGAAATTTTGGATAACCAGATAATCATTTTGACTCAAACCCGATATTACTAAAAGCTAAAAGGTCAAAATTGAAATAAGCTAAAAAGAAAAAAGGCGGGTAAAACCAGAAACTTTCTATATAATTCTTGTTTATTAAAGGTAAGTCTGCAGTTAAGACCACATTAACGGATAAAAAGATGATTATTCATGTTAATATTATTACAAGATATTACAAAAGCCTTGTTTCAATTAGTTTAACTAGAATTAAAGGTGGCAGTACATTAGAGATGATGAAAACCCTGAAGACCCTGATCAAGAAGAGTCCACTACAAAAATTTGCTAGTGCATTACTCAATGTCACATTTTTCTACCTCGATTAATTGGCCCAAACATGGCATGAATTAGGTAAGGCTAAGCCAAATATTCAAATTAGATACCTACCCAAATTTAGTCATATCAGACTAATTTGATCACCTGTAGAGCCTTACAAAGTGTTTAGTGAATTTGAAAAAAAAAAATTAAATAAAAACAATATTCTGCCTACTTTTGCTCAAAAAACTTGAATATCCATACGAGGACTACCACAAAGTCTTAAAAGTTATTGAATATTTAATCTAAACCCCATTCACTCAATCTCTTAATATTTTTATATCTATTACTCATATTAGTTTACTACTGCAACGAGCAAGTGGTGCCTCCATAAACACTGAAAAAGACTTGTCTCACATTTGAGCATGAAACAGCAAAGGATGTATCTCATTGGAAATCCCAACCTTGGATACTGAGAATGTTATTACATTAAATTAGCCATTCCTGTTACACAGTGAAAAGTACCCTGACAACAGCCACCAGATTCAAACTGACTACAGTCACAAATCCTAGAATATTTGGCATTTTAATATCCTCCCTAACTGATAGTCTCATCAAGAGGGGATCAATGTTCAAATTCACCACGACACTATCAGATGAATGGGGCCTCTAACCACGTATTTCGTCTGTGTTAGTAGATGTAGAGTAATGGACATATGCATATATCAGTATCAGTAACTGTATCCAACATTATATCCTGCTTGCTTATAGAACGCATGGCTCAGGTAGCAAACAAAAATCCAATATGTGTTTGCATCCTAAGGGCATTTGGTTAACAAGAATGAAAGGGATTTTCAAAGATCTGTAAAAGATTTTTTCTGCTATCAACTCTAATACTGATTATGGCTATCAACTATTATTAAAAATAAAACCCAATACTCCATAGTCGTGGATTACACAATTATCATCCCCTAAACCACTGCAACCAGAAAACAAGAACAGAGCCAGAGATGAACCAACCAGCCAATTAACAGGTCAACAGAATTCCCATTAATATAGCATATGTGCAATCAACAGAAGTTTTACGGAAATCTGTACATCATTGTAACAATGACAATTTTGGATAATATAGACATATTAGGCACACAAAGATACACTTTTTACACAGCAGCAACTGACAGCAAGAGATTAACACAAAAGGTTGCACAAGACAGAGCACCATATAGTATGTACACACATCTGGAAGTGACAACAAAAAAATCTTTAGTACCTTGGATAAGTTAAATCTTTAACTTCTTGAAACAATAAAAGCTACTATCGAATCCTGCAAAAGAAAATGCACATTATCTTACACATTTGGTAAAGCAATTTGTATTAATACGAGACCAAACAGAGTGAGAAGGAAACTACAAATACCTCTGACCAACATTTCAACCACCCCTCTACAAAATAGAATACCGTGCTGAGCATCAGAGCATTAATTTCAGTGAATAAAGGCTAACCATATCTAAATAACTTGTATCCCAGATAAGAAAAAAGTTATAGGGATAGGGCAAGTAGCCCTATGCCCCTACTAGAGGCATGAAATATTATCTTAAGTCATACATAATAAGAAGTAAGACAAAATGCACTGTCGCAAATTTAGCTGCTAAACCATATTTTTTCCCTTATATTCTAAATTTTTTTCTAGTGATGTTCTAAACTATGTTACATGGATTCGGGAACGGGTGTCGAACATGGACACATGTCCAAGTGTTCGATCCGGCAAGTTCCAAATTTTTAGGACATGGAGACTCTATTCTATTTTTGGCCACAGATACAGGGACACGTCAATAATCACTTAAATTTATATAAATAAATTATATATAACAAAAGCTTTAAATTTTTCATTACAGCCACCCCTATTTTTTTTTTTAATTTTAATTATTTCCTAGGTAATTTCTCCTAATGAATGGCAGTCTTCGTCTCTCCATCTTCTCTGTATCAATGATGGTCTTCGAACAAGATGTGTTTTTTCTTTCATATTTCTCCTCTTTTTTCCTCTCCACTCTTAATGGAAGTGTCCGAGTGCACTGTGAAGGGTCGAACACGTGTCCCGAGTACGTGTACGTGTCGTGTCGACACAGACATTTCGCGATTTTAGCCATGTCCGATTAACATAGGATCTAAATTTTTTATGTAAACCCAATTCCTTTGAACCTCCCCAAACCAATTATTCTAGAAAGCCACGCCGACTTAGCCCATAACAAGGCCAAATAAGTTACTGGTCCCACAACAAATCCGAAGCCAAAGAAACTCATCAAATGGCTAGAGAGTTTCAATCCAACCATACACCAAGAAAATTACCCCGAAAGTAGTGTTGATAATACTTCCTCCATTCCCCAAAAATTGCAGCATGAGGATGGGACACAAATTTTAAGAAGGAAAGAGATAGAGAGGAATAAAGATGGGACCCATATGATGAGGAGAGAGATAGAGGAATAAAGATAGGGACCCGTGATGAGCAAAGAGAAAGAGAGAAAACATCTACAAATAAGGAAGTGTTGCAATATTTGTGAACCTTCCTAAAATGATAATTGTTGCAATATTTGTGAAACTTCCTAAAATGGTAATTGTTGCAATTAGAACTTCCTAAAATTGGTAATTATTGCAATATTTGTAGAATGGAGGAAGTAAGAATCTTCTCCTAAAGTGAAAACCTGCAATCTCTCATATAAACCAAACAACCTCTGCCAAAGGTAACTTTCCACTTCAAAGTGTACTTATCATGTGAACAGCACCCACATTCAGCAGAACAAAGGAAGCAGATATCTGGTAAATAACCTAACCCAGTCGTTGCATTTAAAAGACACCCTTGCTTTCTAAATGAAGCATGCTACTGGAAAAGCTAGAAACCAAAGGGGTTAATATATATTTGAGAAATTATTTGCAAGAATAAGTGCCTGTTGATAGTGCACCTAACTAGAAATTCAATTCCTCTAGTAGAGAAGTGACTCCGCTAACTCCCTATCATGTTGTGATCTCCAAAACCGTATAATCTCAAGCACTATCACCATAAAAAAATTAAAGAGTAAAGACCAGCAACATGCAGGTTATTGAGAGTAGACATATGGTATATTAGAAAGAATCAGGCACTAAAAGGTTGCTCTCATCTCCAAACATCTTTCCAAAGACAAATACGACACCATCCCATACTTTGAACCTCACTGAATAGGTGAATAAAAAAGACTAATGAAACAAACCTTCAAGGACAACCAAGTTTCACTCTAAGAGCCCCTTGTGCAACCAACCCAATATCGTGCATATATATGCTTCTAAAAACTAGATGCCAAAGGGACTGAGAATCAGAAGGAAAACGCCACTACCATTTCCACAAGTGCAACATATTTTGACATCACTTTCCAAAGCCAAGACCTCCTGCGGTCAACACTACAAATCCCAACTCATATGACAATCTTTCCTTATATTGGTTGCCCCACACTGCAAAAATACTCCTTATCATTCTCTCCATTCACTTGCAACAGAAATCAGAATTTGATCAGGGAGAGATAATAGAGATGGATACTAGAAAAGCATGATTGAGCCAAACTTCCCCCTCCCCCCCCCCCCCAACCATAAAGGGAAAAAAAAAATAAAAAAAATAAAAAAAAGGCTATCTTCCACCAATCAAGCTGGCTAAATATCCTCAAAATAACTGTTTCCCAAAATATTTTCAAATGTGGGTAATCTCCAAAAGGCAAAGCCAAGTTCATTCTCGACTTGGCATCCAACAAAAGCTGCATACAGCCCGGGCACAATATGCTTGAGCCTATTATATTACATTTAGAAAAATTTAAGCCTAAAACCACCTCATATATCTATATCACAGTAAGAATTCTAATTAGCCCGCCATACAAAAAAAAAAGTGTAGTCCACAAATTGCAAATAGGAAACATGCAACTCTTCTCTCCCAGCTTTTGACCTTTGATTTTTTCCTCAACCACAACCTTATTCGACATGCTCCCTAGATTGAGTGACTAGCATTCCTTGAAGCTCTTATCAAGAGGTTTGGGGCTATAAAATACATTAGCCATTCAACATTACCAAATCCCCACCAAAACAGACACAGACTGATCTTCGCTTTCATCCATAATTGAAAGTGCAAAAACATGCGATTTAGCAAGACTTGCATATACTTATAAGGCCTGCCTTGCAAAGATCAACCAAAGATGAAAGGCTAGTCCTGCAAAGAGGTAGGGAACCATTTATACATGATATATCATATTGAGTCAAAAATGAAGTATTTTTCCACTGTGAGGCATGTATCGAGGGATTCACACATTCAAATATTTAACCTATAAATGCCTAAACCAATCTAAAGGAAGACCATAACATCACTGGGCACTGGCTACTCCTTCTGATGCAGAGGCAGATCATCTTGATTTCTCTAGATCACAATAGCTGAAAATTTTCTCTGGCAACAAGTCCGAAACAAAATTATCTTAGGTTAAAATCACTGTCAAGTGCCGGTATCTAAACAATGACACTAATGACCAACAAATACATTATTGCTTTTAACAGAATACAAGTGTTAAGTTCACTCATTGAGTCAGAGTGTCAGACATACGAAAACAAAATTTAATAATAATGCTTGATCACCCTTAATCAAGTGCTCTCAAAGAAAACTGTGCCTTTTTTGCAGTGTACAAAGGACTGACTGAGAGGTTTAGAGTGATAGAGCACTATACCATATTTTATTACCACAGCACTGCAGTAGTGACAGAACCAAGGCAATTAACTAAGTTATTTTATTTTTTAATGTATTAATAGTAGACCAACTTCAAGAAAAATTCCAAAAAAAAACACAAATTAAAGCTATGGCTTAGATAATCTTCTGTCTAATTGCATTTTCAATGTACCACAGCTTAACATTCCCCAAATAAACATGGAGATCTAACCTACACGAGCAAAAATTAGTTAGATGTTTGCAAAACCACATGATGCTACAATCTGCTCACTTGAATAGCTTAAAAAGTTCCATATCATATTCCCTCAAAAGTCTAAAGAGTCCATAAAGCACACGATGTGGACCATGTGCTGCATAATTCATTGAAGTTCAGCAGCTACAAACTGCACTTTATAAATTAAAATTACCCCGGGGTCTCTAGATTATAATGCAGTGAGGATTGAAAGGTACACGTATACCTATATTTGGGAAAACTGTGAGGGCTTAAGTTTCTCCAAGAGGGTCTCTGCTTGAATGAATCCACCAAGTGGTCCCAATGATGAGTATTTAATAAATTTCCAGCTGCAAAAAAAAAAAAAATAATAATAATAAAATTTAAAAAAACGATACATTACCAATTTACAGTGGAAAAAAACGACAGAAACCAGACACAACTATAAAAAGTTATAGAAAAATAGAAAGGAAATTCTACCATGGTATAAAAGGAAGCGCCAGGCAATGAAGGTGCAGATGGTCAACACTATTAAACGGGGGTTGGTGAAAGCCAAATCTGCCACATGAAGCAAGGACCAAAATAACAATACTAGTGAGGGGCATAAAAAAGAAGAGATGCAGCAAAAAGCCAGAGTAGCAAATGGGAAGCAATACCTATGCTCATTAGACTGAGCGGCATCTTGTTGTAACAGCGATTTACCAACATTAAGCATGTGAGTCACTGGAGATAACAAGATCCTATATTAAAATTGTGATTGAATTCAAAAATGGGAACTGAAGATGAGTGGCATTACCCAATGTATAGTGTTGTTGTCCTCTTTGAAGGTTTTTCACTGTTGGGATGTGCTCAATAGGGATGACCAAGTAATGTCTGCGAAATTTTGGTAACAAAACAGTATCATATGAAATGTACATTGTATAACAGATGCCAAAACCCTAGCAAACTCTAATCTCAGAAGATAATCCTGCGAAATTTTGGTAACAAACAGTATCATATGAAATGTACATTGCATAACAGATGCCAAAAGCCTAGCAAACTCTAATCTCAGAAGATAATCCTGCGAAATTTTGGTAACAAACAGTATCATATGAAATGTACATTGTATAACAGATGCCAAAACCCTAGCAAACTCTAATCTCAAAAGATAATCTTGCAAACAATGTAATGTGTTGTAAAAAAAAAAAATTCAAATGCAAGTGGCTAATTAGATAGCACGAAAGGAATAATCAAAGACGCACCGGAAGGCGGAGGGGTTGATGTCCTGAAAAGCGACGACAAGTTCATCCTGCAAAATCAAATCCAAATTAAAAGAATCGGCGAATTTTGAAAATAAATAGGGGATAGGAGAAAACCTGGTAAAGCAGGCGTGTAGTGGTAGGAATCCGAGCAATTTGGCAAAAGATGCACGCCGATGCCGACATCCCTCGCCGACGTTGACCTCTCTTCGCACTTCTCTCGCGCTTGTCTCCTTGGTGGTGAGCCGGGTGACAAATGACACCTAACCTAACAATTACCGAGTATAGAATTAAAAAAAATATATATATATTAAAACAAAGGAAAATTATTCCTTTTTTTTTTTTTTTTTTTTTGCATCACTTTCCTTCTTAGGGTGTATTTTTTTTAAATGTATCACTTTTATATTTGGTAATTTTATACGGAGTACTGTACTTTGTCATTTCTTTCTTTTACTTTAAACCTCACTTAACTTATTTTATCATTTCTCTCTTCCATGGTACTTAATAAAATAATAAAAATATTTATCCTCTCTCACATGCTTTTTTTTTTCATGATCCTCATCTTACTTTTACTATAATAATTTACTCACTCACTCACAATATTATATTACTCTCCTAAAACTTTGTGCAAACCAAAGTGATGCAAATAAAAATTAAAAAAAACGAAGGGAGTACTTTGTTTCCAAAGGATTTGAAATATTTGAATAAACCATTTATTTAAGTTGTTGAAATTGGTAACCAGGTTCTAGTTTTAAGGATCGTTTGGTTGGAGTTTTTGAAATTGACTGGAATGGATTTAAAGTCCATTTCATCCATTTTGTTGTTTGGTAAGGCAAATTTAGTTATGGAATCTCATAACAAGTGGTTCTAATTCCACCCCATTCCCTATAATCTCATACCCACCTTGCCCCCTAAGATTCACCATCCATTCCTTTGATGAATTCTAAAACACAATCTAAAATATTATTAAAACCCAAGGTATTAACATGTTAACGACATGCGTCATACTTTGTCATCATAAAATTTATGACATAGCACCACATAGATGAACATGACAACACATCAATATTTGGATTAGATTTGAATTATTGCATCCTTTGAAATTCCCAACTTTTCATTACCACTATTCCACAATTAATATCACTTTATTACTTAATTAACATTCATATATGAACTGTAACTTTTCATTAAGGGTTCGAAAAGTTTATAAGCATTATATACAATTCCCTCTAAATTGTAAGACAAAAACTACTACATCTCCTTTTCTATCCCCAACTAACTTTATCATTTTTATTTTACTATTTAAACTTAAGGCATTGGTTCCAAAATATAGTTTAAACTCATGGTAATTTTTTCATTTTGTATTTAAACATAACTCAGGGCATCGCATGGGCCCCAGACCAATTCCAAATAATAAACCAAACAAGTTTAAACCAATATGGGGTTTGGAATCCATACCTCCCTAGTATAAGAATTCATACCAATCCATTTCATCATAACAAACCAAACCACCCCTTAGTCTTAGCATTAAGTCATTAAGGGTGATGAGGAAAATTGATAAGTGAAAGTTATGTACATTTGTCGAGAAGGAAATAGAATTGTAGATTGACTAGCTTAGCCAATCAAGGAGTATTTCAAAACAACAAAATGGATTCAATTCTCAACCTCGTTCTTAAGTTGTATTTTAACACGATAATAGGATTGATGTGACTTTCCCGCAGACTGTCCCAACATAGTTTATTATTTATGCTTTTCTTGTATAGTTGTATGGGGCATAGCCCCATGTAAGAGCATAAATAATGGTAAGGATGCTAAATTCCTTTTTCCATTTTCTTTCTACTTTCCTCCACTTGACACACCACACTCTTTTCCCTCCACAACACTTCTCACTTTCTCTATTCTTTTACTCATCTTCTTTCTTAAATATTTCCAACATCAATGAGTATCCTTTTTCATTTTCTCTCTCCTATTTACATATAGGCATATAGGCAAATTTGTCAAAAAAAAAAAAACCTTTTAAAAGCATCATTTTGCGAAAAAATAACCTTTTAAAAGCTTTTTGGTTAAAAAAAATACCACATTTTATTTTTTTTTTGTGAGAGAAAACCTATTTCACTAATTAACTTAATTAAACTATAAATTCTTCTTGTAATCCCCCATATTTTTTTAAAATATATTATAAATGAAATTATATATTATTTATAATATTTATTTGTATTTTTCCGGAATTTAATTTCAAAAGTTGCAATTTTAAATTGGGTCGAAAATTATTTTGGTACAAATTTTTATACATACCTTCATTCTATAATTCATGTCCAAATAAACAAAGTCAAACTCATCTTACTTACTTAATTGACCCATTAATTTAATGAGGCTCAATCTTACTATTTACCCTACACCACTCTCTCTCCTATAAATACCCCATACATCCCCATATTTTTCCCCACACAAAAAGGTTAGTAAACTCTCTTCTCTTTATTTTATTTCTCTTATTTTCCCTTTATTTTTCTTTTCTTTTCTTTTCTTTTTTCCCTTCTTTTTCCTTTTTTTTTCTTTTTTTTTTCTTCTTTCCCTTTCCTCCTCCTTCACGTGAGGAAATCCTCATTCTTCCTTGTTGCCGCCCAGCCATCTCCGGCGCACCCCCCTGCCGCCGCCACCTGGTCGCCGGCGACCACCCAGCCGGCGCCTGCCACCGCACCACCTTCCCCCCCTTTTTCTTCCTTTGTTTTCTTAATTTTGCTTAATGTTCATATAATTAGTTTTGGGTTTTGATTTTATAGTATAAAGTTTATATTTTTAGTATCAAAACCATGTTTTTGATGTTTTAAACTAATAATTTCATATTATAATTGTTGTTATAATTTTCAGATTTTATAATTTTAAAACCTAGGTTTCAATTTATTTAAATTGGGATTTTAGGGTTCTTATGACTAATTAATTTGGGGCTTTTGTTCCTATTGGATTTCTATTGATTAATTAAGCATAAAAACATGTTTTTAATGAAGTTTTAAGAACTTTTAATCAAATTTATATTGCTGGAAATTTGTTTAAGTGTTAATTTGTGATTATTGATTGTTTTCTAGGAGGTGATTATTCTCTAGGAGACTTTTAAGTGATTAAAAGTGGCACAAAGAATTGTTTACACGAGGTACGTATATGTCTACTTCGTTGCAAGTAGTATCATGTTTAGGTACCAAAGAAAAGAACTTACTTTCATGATTAGAGAACACTTGGATGAAAATTGTTTGGTTATACATTTAATTAATTCACGTGCTTGTGTTTATGAGACATTTTTGGTAAATTGATTATGTTTGTATGGAATTATGGATGCAAACATATTGAATTATATTGGATTAATTGTTTGTATGGAATGTTGATACAAGCATAATTTTATTGGATTGGTGTGTTTAACCACATTTGGATTATTAAAGGATTGGAATTGAATGGTTTAAGTGGAATGAATTTATTAATTATTCCACAAGGTTGTTATTTATTTTATTTATTAATCAAGCATGACTTGTTAGTATGTTGAGTAAAAGTGGATTAAGCCGAAATGGCTAGGTGGGTTAACTATGTTCAACAATTTGGATAATTTGGAAGTTTAATGAAATTAAAGGTCAATTTGTGATGTGATCACCATTGTCCTAAATAAGATTAAAAGTAAATTGATGTATGATTTTTATGTATGGTCTATTTGATTGAGTCGGCTATTAATTAAAATTGTAATCACGTAAAGTGAAACATGGATGAGCAATAAAACTCTAGAAAGCGTGCACTTCTAGAGTATTGACAATTATGGGTTGGGGTACACGGTGGTAGCCCGTGGCTTTCCGAGGCTTGTTTGATCAACATGTCCTCTTTTCTTTTGGTATTTACATTTTATTTTATAATGAAAGTTAGATGGGATCCTAGACTAACTTTGTGAGAATGGAGTCGCGCCCATTCTTGCATCGCGCTAAACTTTTATTTTAAATGGTCATTTGGGACCAAAATGATTTGGTGGATTGGACAACCACGTCTATTGCTTACTCCAAATTAAATTAATTAAATTAAATATAAAGAGTCAAGTGTTTAGAATTGGTTAGAAAGTATGTTGAGTCAATTATTGAATTGTTTAAATGTGGAGTCTTGATTAATGAATTCAAGTTGTATGTTTATTTACTTTAATTAGTTGAGCATGTCAGGTTTGGTACGTTGTAGCTTGTATGTACTCAGCTTTGCTAATTGCGTGCTTTTGTGTGTTTTCTTTTGGTCATGGCCTTCGCCTTTCAATGACTCTGTGATGATCCAATTATTACACTTGTATTATTGGGGAGCAGTATTGCACAGGTTAGCTTGATGATGTGAAGTTCGGGGATTTGACATACGCATTGTCAAGGGATTGGTGTGATTGAGAGTATTCGTTCTTTGTGTTGAACTTATTTATGTTTCACTATTTTTATTATGTTTTGGGATTTTGAATATTGGTTTGGTTTTAATAAGGGTCTTTATGGTTCCAATTTGTAAGCTTTGACTTATTGGTTTTCTAAATTATATTATTTAAAGATGTAAGTTGGATTTTCGCTGCGATACTTTGATAAAGCCTTAACGTTTTAACACGTGACGGTAACATGCCAATGGTTCTCTATTTTTATTTAAAGTAAGTGGTTTGGAAAAGGGAGAATTATTGGGGTGTTACAATAATTAACCTCTAACACACCAAATTACTAAATAATTAGATTTAATTAATATATATATATATAAAAAAACCCACCACCCCCTCTTTCCTTCTCGTTTCCTCCCTCCTCCTATAGAATCAACCCCTCCCCCACCGGCCCGCTATCCGGATCCCCGCACCTCTAGCGACCTCCTCCACCGCTAGACGACCCTTCATTTCCTCTTAATCACATCCCAACAACCATCTCCTTGATTTTGAAAAACTAACCCTAGAAAATTGATTTGAGGGTTTTAAATTTTGAGCATCGTTCTTGCAATTAATGCTTTTCTTGGCTTTGGTTATGTATGTAGTGATGCTAGGGTGATTTAGAAACAAATTGGAATTGATTTGGGCTTGATTTGAACATGTTTGAGTATATAAGATCTAAAAATTCGAAGGGAGGTGGTGGTCGCCAACGGGGATAAGGGGGAAAGGATGGTCCACCGGCGGTGGAGGTAGGTCGCCGAAGGTTAGGGGATCTGGGCGGTGGGTCCAGTAGGTGAGGGAGTTGCTTCAAAGGGAGGAAGAAGGGGAAGGGTGGTTGGTTGGTGGTTGGGGTGGTGGTTTATTTTTATGTATAAATTAAATATAATTATTAAGTAATTAGGTGGGTTAGTGGTTAATTAGAATAAATGGGAGGAAATTAGAGTCTAATTAAGTTAATTAAAGGATAATTTAGGAAATAGGCTTCCTCTCGCAAAAAAAAAAAATAAACATGGTGATTTTTTTTAACCAAAAAGTTTTTAAAAGATTTTTTTCCTGCAAAATGGTGCTTTTAATTTTTTTTTTAACAAATTTGCCTTACATTTAATCCACCATGTATGCTAAAAATGGAAGTATGTCAAATTATGCACAAATTATACTTTGTACTTCTTTTATAAAGGGAAAAAATTATTACTGTTGGTGTTTTTTGTTTTTACAAAAATATGATTGTTTGAGATATTATTGCTATATGGAAATAATTGCACTTTAAAATCATGAACAATAATTTCCCACAATTTGAGATTTTACTGTTGAGCTCTAGTTTCCTAAAACTTACTAACACCATTGAATTTTATCCCCATGTTTTTATTTTTTTAAAGTAATAAAAAATGCCAATTTGGCAACTTTTTGGCACACCAACCAAGGTTTTGCATCATTTTCACCAAAAGATAAAGAGCAAATCCTTTTCCTAATAGTATCCTTTTAGCAATGTTGACATCAATAAGGAAGAATGATGTGCTCTAAGCACAACAAATAATTGAAAATGTTGCAAAAAAAAAATAAAATTAAAAACATCATTTTGCATTAAAAAAAACCCTTTTAAATGCTTTTTGGCAAAAAGAAAAAAAACCTTTTAAATTCTTTTTAACCAAAAAAAAAAATGATTGAGAACTTTTGTTGTTGAAGGCAATCTACTGTTTCTAATTTACTTAATTACCTCTAACTCTCATTTAATAATTAGATTAATTTATATATTACAAAAAAAAAAACCATCCCCCAACACTAGCCACTGCAACCACCCCATCCCTTTCCCTCGGTAGCTGTCCCCCTCCCCAAATTGAGTCGCCATCTGGAACCCCCCACCCTCGACGACCCATTTCGACAGACCCCCCTCCTTTTCCTCCTTACCCCCACTCCAACCATCCACCCTCCCTAAAACCTAACCTTGATAATTCACAACCCTCCCCCCTATCCTAACCCCCCCCCCCCACCTATGGAAAATCGGGCGACCCTACATAACCCAAACCCTTACCTAAAATTCAACAAACGAACTCCCATCCACCCTAAACTACTACCGCAAAGTCGCGAACCCCTAGCCCCCGGCCCACCCATGCCTTTGTCGCCAAACCCACCCAACCCAATCCCAACCCGCCTGCTTAATTTAACTCCTCGCAAAATCCCAAACCCCAGCCCTGCAACCAAATTGAGTTTTTCGTGGTGGTGGAAGGGGGGAGGGGCAGGTTTCAAGCACTCCCTCCGTTTTTAAATACTTGCTTCATTTCTCTTGGACACACATGCCGATGCTAATCATTGATCACTAATATCTTTAATTATCAATAAATATAAATTCTAACAATTAAAAATTAAAAATCTATTCATTGAGATGATTCCAACAAGTTCCCACAAGACTATTTTTTTTTTCTTATGTATAAATCATTAACATTAGTCAAAGTAGCACAAATGAATAGTGCAAAAAATAAAAATGAAGCAAATATTTAAAAACGGAGGGAGTAAGAGTTTAGGAGGGTGTGTGGTCGCGGCGAGGGGAAGGGGAAGGTTTGACATGTAGGGCGTGTTCGGCGCTAGCTTTTGAGTAGCTTTTAGTGGTTTGATCAAGTCAAATCACTACTTGACAAAAAATGTGAGTGTTTGACAAAGTAGTGGTTAGGGTAGCTTTTAGTGGTGAAGGTAGCTTTTATGAAAAGTTAGAAAGATTAGCTTTTGAAATTAGAGGTAGCTTTTGAGGTAGCTGTTGAAAATTTAATATATTGTTTTAAAAATAAAATGTTGATTTTTATATGTAACAGCTAGTCAACTGCTACTTTACCGAACCCTCATATCTAAATTATTTATCTTCACAGCTAACAACTTGTTGACAGCTAACAGCTACATACACAGCTCACAACTATCTCCACAGCTACAGCTACAGCTACCTTCACAACTATATTTTGCCGAACATACCCATAGATAGTAATGACATCAATGATAATTACTTTAGTTATATTTATAGATTTTTTGTTGAATTTTTTTGCCTATATGTAAAAGGCTGGCATGGGCAATTTGCACTTGCCCGGGACACACTCTCTACCGCAGTCCCGCCATGGCAAAAGCCTTAACAGTTAACACTCAAACTCTCAGACTTTCAGATGATACATACAAGTAATTTTTTTTAAAAAAAGAAACCCTAACCGTAGCCCTTAGGAGGTGTAGTGCAATTTTGGCCCGAAACACAAATTGGAGTGAGTCTCGGCATGAGTTCCGGGTCAACTCAGCGAATGTTCCAGCTGAAATTGGACTCTCTCACCGGCAAATCGGAGTGGGTGGTTGTGGAAGGAGACGATGAAGATGATGGCTCCTCAGTGGATTTGGCTACAACCTCGTATCTCGATATGCTTAACGACACCACGAGAAACAAAGCTTATCGTCAAGCCATTGACAACACTGTCACTCGACCTTGTAATGTCCTCGATATTGGGTAATCAATCTTAACTGTTACTCTCTTCCAATTGCTTTGCTTGATATCCCAATACTCTTGTTTCGTTAATTTTGCATTTCTGTTTGGCAGTTATATGCTTTTACAGATATTGTACTTGTAATAGTTTTTGTACTGTATTGGGAAAGGGAGTTGAAACTTTCTGTCTCTATCTTATGTTGTTTTGAATGTGGTGGTATGTCCAGTGCTGGTACTGGACTGCTATCGATGATGGCAGCACGTGCATTGGGTTCAGCTGACTCCACTGTGGCTAGTGATGACAAAGGAAGGGTTGTTGCATGTGAGTCTTACCTTCCAATGGCGAAGTTGATGAGGAAAGTTGTGCATTCCAATGGTATGTCCAGGAAAATACATGTCATCAACAATCGCTCTGATGAACTCAAAGTTGGAGTTGATATCAGTACCCGAGCTGATATACTTGTGGGTATATTAAACCTAATCTCTTTCTAATTCTATACTTGTATTTCCTGTTGTCTGTGATTATGTACCTGAAAGATAATGGTATAAGCTTTAAGCTATGAGATGAAAGCATTGTTTTCTTGGCATGCGCCTTAGTGTCTCGGCGCATTATTATTTAATAACAGTACTTTTGAGACCTCTATAGTCTATAGTCAGCTAGCTTAGGCATCTAATAGAAATTAGGCTCTTATACTTTTCGTACCTTTTTCTTACACTGCACTCTCACTGTATGCCATGTACTGCACCATGTTTCAGACTTCTTTCATAGGGGCTCTGTTTTTACAGCCTTCTGCAGGCTAGGTTATTACTGGAAAACTATGTAGTTCCATTCCATTTTGTATTGAATCCTTTTAACTGTCTAAGGAGTCTTTGCCACACTTCCTTACTCAAGTACAGTCAAATAACATATTTTCTATTTCTGCAATGTCACATTCTCATAAAACACATCTTACAACTCACCTGATTACTAAAACTTCACTAACCTATCCTTTCAATCTAAAATACGCAACCTCAAATTTCTTGAAAGATCTTGTGATTGCTGTCATTCTTCTCCTGCTTTCTTGAAATAAAATCTTTGCAACTAGACTGCATAACAAATGAAATTTATTATCTCTAACTGTTTGTGGAACACCAAATTGTAGGTTAGTGAGATCCTAGATTCAGAATTATTGGGAGAAGGATTAATACCTACTTTGCAAAATGCGCATGATGAGCTACTGGTGGAGAATCCTGATACTGTCCCATACCGAGCAGTTACTTATGGCCAGGTAAGATATTTTAAAAAACCTTCTTCTTGCTTGTCCAAGCCTGTTAAATCTGATTCCCTTTGACATTCCCCTAATTTTGTGTCTAATATGGTACGGAGTAGTTTATACTAGAAGCTTGTTATTTTATTGTTTGTGACTTTGCAGACTTTTGAAAATTTAGGTCTGAAATTTTCTCCAGAGTAAAAAAAAAAGGCACATGATTTGAGATACCAAGTCAACTAATAATCAACTTGCCAAATGGTTAGTACTTAAACACCGTGGAGGTACAAAGGGATATTAGCTGGTGACGACCATTAAAAACTTGGAAATTTATGTAAGATGGAGTAGGGCATTATTGACAATGGATCAGGATTGCCGTAATTTACTTGTTGGCGATTTGAGATATATCCTCTGAACTGAATAGAAGTGCGTCAAGCTAGATAAGAATTTAGCTCAATTATTAAAATTTATGCCCCAATCAACATTCCTAAGAGAGCTTTTTAGCAACTTAAGGTAAACACTTATTTGAAAATTATACGGGCTATGTTTTCCTTAACAATTATAGTACTGAAGGCTATGTTGCTTGGACTTGGGCACCCATGTCCGACACGGGTACGTGTCCAAGCGTACGACTTGGCTATTTTGTGAAAAAATTCCATGATTTTGAACTAAAAATGAAGTGTCAGGGTGTCATACTTATGTCCGAGTGTCGAGGATTTGTCAGGGTATGTGAGGTGAAATGAAGAGTCCGAGTAACATAGACTGAAGCTATAATTTCCTTTCCATGATAATATCCATCCCATTCCATTATTAGCATTAGCAACTGACTTGTTAGGAGCAAAGGTTAATTTTGTGCTTCACAGTTCAATGCTCTCTTTAAAACTTATTTACGCTTTGATATGTGGGGTAAAGGCTTGCATCCCATGACTTTGAGGTCAGGGATCAAGTCTCATTAGGCACTCTTTGGGGATGGGATTCCTCCCATCCTCAAGGTTCTATATTCTATGATGAGTGGGTTATCTCTTGAGGTAAAAGGCCACATCAAGGCCGATCCTTATGCCTGATCCAAAAAAAATAAAATAAAAAAATGGTGTGGTTTTATCTTACTAATTTACCGTTTCCTTTATCCAAAATTAGCTACCAATTACTATTAACCGCAAATCATTTTGGGATAAAGGTTTTGTTGTTGTTGTTGTTGTTCACTTACTTTTCCCCTTTTTTCTTCATCACCATGTTATTTGTTATGAACTGGGTTCGGTTGATTGCAATCAAAACTCACAAGAATAAGAAGGCTGAAAGCTTGATGATTTACGATTAACAGAACAACGAATTACAATGGATAAACATAACTTGAGGTTATGACTCTCTAAGTAGCTTTAGGCCACCACTCCCTCATGTGTTTTCTCTCAAATTTCTGGACACCTTCCCATAATACAAATTCTACTACTTATACTAGAATGGTCATAGTGACCTTAGAGCTTAACATGTGATACTAGACTAATTTAGAAAAACATACATACGCACAAAGAAACTAGCTTGCTTTCTTTCCTTCCTTCATTCTTACTTAGATTTGTCTTCAACTCAATTAGACTTATCTTGATGTGGAGAATTGTTCCCTGCTGCTGCTCTTTGACCCTGCTGGAATTTCCTTCTTCGTGTATAAACCTTGATAGGTGGTTCTATCACATTACCCGTCGGCTCGAGATTCACCTTGTCCTCAAGGTGGAAAGCCGGGAACCGCTTCGCAATGGCCCTCCCCGTCTTCCCAAGTGGCTTTGAATTGTGGCAGCCCTTTCCACTTAATCAGCACCTCAACATGCGGCTTTCCCCCACCTGACTTAGAACAGACTTCCAGTAACTCTTCAGGTTCCGCAACTAATTCCATATCTGCTGACAATTGCTCTAGAATGGAAGGATTAACCCACTCGTCTCCCACATCCCTCTTTAATTGAGAAATATGAAATACAGGGTGGATTCTACTTGAAGGAGGTAGCTCTAGCTTGTAAGCGACTTTTCCGATTCTCAAAGGACCATAATAACGGGTTGCTAACTTCTCAAACGGCCTCTTCGCTAAGGAACGCTGGCGGTACGGCTGCAATTTCAAGTAGACTGCTTCCCCAATCTCAAATTGCTCGTCCCTTCGTTTTCGATCCGCATTTTGGTTCATAATCTGTTGAGCCTTGCTGATGTTGGCCTTTAACTCTTCTAAGACCCAATCCCTTTCTTGAAGCCAACCTTCCATCCATAGTTTCGATGGATCTCTACCATACACCACCTTAAAAGGTGACATCTTGGTGGTCGTATGGGGAGGCGTATTGTACGAAAATTCGGCCCATGTTAACCACTTGGCCCATTGCTTGGGCTGACTCGAAGCAAAAACACCTTAGATACACTTCCAAACTGGTTAACGATTTCTGTTTGGCCGTCCGTTTGAGGGTGATAGGACGTACTCCGCCGCAAGTGTGTTCCCCGGAGGCGGAACAACTCTTTCCAAAACAGACTCATAAAGACCCGATCCCTGTCTAATACAATGCTAGCCGGAAACCCGTGGTGGCTCACGCACGAAACAATCAGCCACCTTAAGTGCGTTGTATGGGTGCTTCATCCCCACAAAATGAGCTTACTTAGAGAGCCTATCCACCACCACGAGAATGGAATCAATCCCCTTCGATAACGGTAATCCTTCGACGAAATCCATTGAAATATCCTCCCAAATAGCCTCCGGAATCGGCAACGGCTGTAATAGCCCCATCGGACTTTGTTGCGATACCTTATTTCGCTGGCAAACCGTACACCTTCGAACATAATCACTAACTCATTTCCTCATTCCCGGCCAGAACCAGTCCGCCGACAGCCAGAGGTAGGTTTTGACCTCGCCATCATGACCCCCGGTGGGCGAATCATGGTGTTCAAGGAGAAGGGCAGGAATGATAGTGGAGTTGCTTGGTATGGCGATTCTACCTTTGTATAGTATCCTTTCTCCTTAGTGAAACCCTTAAGCTGCTCTTCCCCTCTCTCAAGGCCCGCTCTGATCCGGCCAACCAAGGATCCATTTGGATCTCCTTCTCTAAAGCCTTCCAGTTAATTTGCTGGCAGCAAATTAGGGCCTTCAACTGGGCCGAGGGTGGCATTTTGCGAGACAAGGCATCAACCACCTTGTTAGATGGGCCTGGTTTGTATTGGACTTCAAAATTGAACCCAATAAGCTTCCTAACCCATTTTTGATAGTCACCGCCCACTTCAGTTTGTTGTGTGATATATCGTAGGCTTTGTTGGTCCGTCCGAATCACAAAGTGTCTTCCGAGTAAATAGTGCTTCTATCGAATCACGGCTAGACACATAGCCATCAACTCCTTCTCGTAAATCGACTTATCCCGAGCTCTAACTCCTAAGAGCTTGCTATAAAAAGCGATAGGTCGATTTTCTTGCATTAATACGGCCCCCATACCAAAACTTAAGGCGTCGGTCTCGACGATAAATTCCTTCAGAAAATCCGGCATAGCAAGAACCGGAGCGGTAGTCATAGCCGTTTTGAGCCGCTGAAAGGCCCTTGTGGCTTCCTCGGTCCAAGCGAAACAATCTTTCTTAAGTTGGGCCGTTAGTGGGCCCGCAATGTGGGCATACTTGGAGATGAACTTGCGGTAGTAGCCCGTGAGGCCAAGAAACCCTCTCAACTCCCTAGGAACGACCCACTCTAAGATGGCCCGAATCTTCTCTTGGTTCATGGCCACTCCATGTTGTGAAATGACATGGCCCAAGTAAGCAATTTTGGGCCTCCCAAACTCACATTTCTTCATGTTGGCAGTTGGTTTTCCAGTAGGCACTCCCAACACTTTTTGCAAGTGAACTAAATGCTCTTGCTCATTTTTACTATAAATGAGGATGTCGTCAAAGAAAACTGAGACGAATCGTCTCAAGAAGGGTCGAAAAATATCGTTCATCAAGGATTGGAAGGTGGCCGGCGCATTGGTTAGCCCGAAGGGCATAACCAAGAACTCGTAGTGACCCTCATGCGTCCTAAATGCGGTTTTATGAGCATCTTCCTTCTTGATCCGAATTTGGTGATTTTCGGATTTAAGGTCGAGTTTAGAGAAAACTCGAGCTCCGTGCAATTCACCCAATAGCTCATCAATAACCGGTATCGGATATTTATCCGGCACGGTCTCTTTGTTCAATGCCCGATAATCTACGCAAAAACGCCATGATCCGTCTTTTTTCCTCACTAAAAGGACCGGGCTAGAGTAGGGACTAGTTGAGGGTTGGATAATGCCGGCCTCTAGCATCTCTCCGATCAACTTCTCGATCTCGTTTTTCTGAATTTGTGGGTACCGGTAGGGTTGGACACTAACCGGGTTGCTGCCATCTCGAAGAGTTATGGTGTGCTCACGTCCCCTACTTGGTGATGGAACTTGGGCCTCTTTTGCTGGCCCATTCTCCTTTTCTTCATGGTCCAACTTGTTAACTTCAACCCAAACCCTACTTCTCTCTTTACACAGACTTCTGAACATGGCTTTCAACGAAATCTGCGTCTTCTCCAAGGTCGGGTCGCCGGTGAGAGTCACCGGAGCTCCGGCGAGCGTGAATTTCATCATGTGTGTGCGTCAATTCGTAGATACTGTGCCTAGTTTCTGGACCCCGAGGATTAAGTCGGCTCCCCCCAAGCTCATCGGTAGAAAGCTTTCCACCACCGTCAACCCACCGTCCAATTCCACCTTAACACCGTCGCACACCCCCTTCCCTTTTACTGTATCTCCATTCCCAAGAGCCACCCCAAACTCGTTTTCTCTGTTCACCGCAAGTCCAAGTTCGCCCACCACCTCGGTGGAGATGAAATTGTGGGTTGCCCCGGGATCAATCATCACCACCACCTTCCTCCCTCTAACTTGCCCTCTGAGTTTCATAGTTTTAGGGTTGGAAAGCCCAACCACCGAGCACAGCGAAACCCCGATTGCGGCGTTTTCCTGATCGGTCTCCTCGCTTCCATACTCGTCGAGGTTGTCAATTTCCTCACGTACTTCGTCGCCAATCACCACCAACACACTAAGTTCTTTTCGCCGGCATTGGTGGCCTACACTCCACCTTTCATCGCATCGAAAACACAGTCCTTTCGATTGACGATCTTGATATTCCGACTCAGTGAGTCACCGAGTTCCACCCGAGTTGAGTCGGTTTGAAGCATTGTTAGATCGGCCCAAATTGACGGACCCTTGGGATTCTGGAGCTTTGGCCAAGCTTTACTTGGGCCTGTCGTGTTTGGCACCCCAAAAGTCTGGACCAGGCTGCCCTTGTTCAAGGTCGAACTCGTTTGAACTAGGCCGGCACCGGTGGTCCCAACACTAGGCCCTCCCTTCCATCCACCTACAACCCTTTGACCTTGGTGTGCGCTCTGTTCTTCTCTTCAATTTGCACAACCATTTCCATGGCTCTCTCCAAATTTGAGGGATTTAACAATCTGAGCTCTGTTTTGACCGTTCTCGACAGCCCATTGATAAATTGTCCCATCATGAGACTCTCTGGTATATCTTCCAGTGGGGCCGCCATCTCGATGAATCTTCGGCGGTACTCCGCCACCGATCCTCCTCCCTGACTTACCGCGAGCCACTGCTCATGGAGCGTCCCCGAATGAGAGGGGCGAAACTCATTTAGGACGCGTTGCTTGAAGTCCGGCCATCCAAAGAAAGGCCGTCGTTTCTGCTCCCACTGGAACCACTTCAACGCGGCGCCGTCCATGGCTACTATTGCCGCCTCCATTCTCTCTCTCTCCGTTAACTTATAAAACTCGTAGTACATCTCAGCTCGGGCGGTCCAATTATACGGGTCTACCCCGTCAAAGATCGGCATCTCCAATTTTCGGTGTTTCCATCGTCCGTCGCCGCCGTCTCCGGTGGTCGCCACTCCTGTTTTTCATATTGCTCTTCTCTGATCGGTGTGTTGTTGAGCCCCATCTCCAACCGCGGGCTGTTCTCTTCCACCACCGGAATGGCCCGTGAAATTTGTTGCGTTTGATTTTGCTTCGCTTTCTCCAACTCCTTCTACAGCTTGGTTATCTTTGCACGATCGATCGCGGCTTGGGTGTCCACCGTGACTCGGAAACGGTCAAGCCGGTCCTCCATTTTTTCTACGGTGGCATTCATCACCTCCTCTGTTTTTTTTTGTTCCTCCGCTAATTCTGACGTTCCTCCTCCATGGCCACCTTTACTGCTGCTGTCACCGCTCGTGAGATGTTGTCGTCGGGGGTTTGCAATTTTTCTACAAGTGTAGCCATTTGAGTTTTCAAGTCGGTCAGTGTCCCTTCCATGGCATCCATCCTTTGTGAGATGTTAGCCTCCATTTTTTATTTTATTTTATTTTATTATTATTATTATTATTATTATTATTATTATTTTTAATATTATGGTACGGAGTGGTGTTTTTCGGCCGCCGGCAGTCGCAGGACCACCGCTTTGATACCAAGTTTGTTATGAACTGGGTTCGGTTGATTGCAATTAAAACTCACAAGAATAAGAAGGCTGAAAGCTTGATGATTTACGATTAACAGAACAACGAATTACAATGGATAAACATAACTTGAGGTTATGACTCTCTAAGTAGCTTTAGGCCACCACTCCCTCATGTGTTTTCTCTCAAATTTCTGGACACCTTCCCATAATACAAATTCTACTACTTATACTAGAATGGTCATAGTGACCTTAGAGCTTAACATGTGATACTAGACTAATTTAGAAAAACATACATACGCACAAAGAAACTAGCTTGCTTTCTTTCCTTCCTTCATTCTTAATTAGATTTGTCTTCAACTCAATTAGACTTATCTTGATGTGGAGAATTGTTCCTTGCTGCTGCTCCTCTTTGACCCTGCTGGAATTTCCTTCTTCGTGTATAAACCTTGATAGGTGGTTCTATCACATTATTTCCTTGTACTCCCTGTGTAATTTATTTTATTATATTTTTTGTAATGCAACACTTTGACCCATGCACAGTTATAAGTGGTTGAGTTGAATTTGTTAAAAATTGTTATGTGGGGTTTGTTGGGGAATTAAAGATAATTAAAAAGAGGTATTGGCCTATTGGGTGAATAGTTCATTCAAATGTAAGCTTGTGAGAGGATATAAATAATAAATAAGTATGAGTGGGTGGAAGTGGGGATCATTAGAGGAATAATAAAAAAGTATGAGTGGGTAGAAGTGTTGCATCTAAAAAAATGGCCATATAGTCCTGAAACAAGCAAAATAACAAAATCTCTTTTGTCATGATTGAATCAAAATCAACTTCAAAGTAAACAACATTATTTCATTGTTATTATCAGATTTTAAGCTCAAATTTAGGCGTAAGAAATACAACCCCTGAACTTTGTTTTCATGGGTTTTGTGATCTCCTTAAAGACGAGAGATGTTCGTTGCATAGTATCAGTTCTTAATGCGTAATAGACTTATTGGTCTTGAGATACATCATATACTTGGAACTTTTTCATGGTTTCTTGCAATACCCCTCATATTATATATAGCTACCCCTTTTTATACTAACAGTAGCCCTTATTATTGAATTTTAAATTGTGCTTTTAGTTTTCACTATATGACTTGTTTTTCAGAGGACCCCTCCCGTAAAATATATATATGGGAACTCTTTATAACCTTTCAAACCATTTTAGGTCATAGCTTATTTATATTGTTGTCTAACAAAGTGCGCCTTTGTCCTCAGTTAGTTGAAAGCAGTTTTCTATGGAGGCTGCATGATCTCTATAGCAATGAGATTTGTGCATCGGATGGCATTCGTCTTGTTCCAACTGAACGCAGTTCCATTTTGAGTATCGAACCACAGCAGTACCCCATGCACTGTGACCCATTGCAAGAAGAATTAAAGCTGGTATAACTTTTTTTTCAATTCTGCCTGAACAATCTCTCATAGTCTCATACCTGAAATAAGTATTTGTTATAACATCCGTCCAGCTTTCAGAACCCTTCAAAATTTTTGAGTTTGACTTTTGGAAACGGCCAAGCAGTCATGGGGAGGCTGAGATACTTGTAGAGGCAGCTACTAGTGGAAGTGTGAATGCTGTTCTCTCCTGGTAAATCATCTCAGAAGCTGAATCAATTGTCTTATATTTTTGCTCACACATAATAGGATCTTATACTTCTTTAGGTGGGTACTTCAGCTTGATAAAGAAGGAACAGTCTTTTACTCTACTGCACCAAAGTGGATCAAACTTTTACAGACAGAATTTCCAGGTACTTTAATCATCATTGACTATGCTAGTATATTGGTGAGAAAGGTTTTCATGCACATGTTTGAGATTTTCAAATGTCTTACTTCTGCTATTTTCACAACTGTCACTAATATATGACCTTACATGCTTCCTGTTTTTATACCAATACTAAGATTATAATCCTGCTTCCAGTTGCTATTTGTAAAAGCTCCTTTTATATTTTTTTACATGCTGACTAAATTTGTCAATATGCCAGGTAATGAGAATTGGTGTGACCATTGGAAACAATGTGTTTGGTTTGTCCCAGGAAAAGGTTTATCTGTATCCAAAGGTGAAAATATTCAGTTGCTTGCTGTCCACTCAGATATAAGTATTTCCTATAGCCTCTGGGCTGAAAGCCAAAGAAATAAGAAAGAGCACGTTATTCGCAAAGATGATTTCCAGCTTACTTTGTCACCTGAAAAAATTGCAACTTACTCTGATGATAAATGGAGGCGTTATGTGTCACTAGCTTTACAAAATGCTGTAAGGGCTTGATTGCATTATTCGTCTCCTCAATGTTCTATGGGTTCATCATTTGTTGTAAAACTCTTCATTGCTAATGCCATTTTTCTGTATAAACCATATGATGAAGTATCACAATGGTGTGAATAACTTGTTCATTTCCATTTGTAGGATGGACTTTAGACTATGTATTGACTTGATAAAATTGGTAAAGTATATAGATTTGGTCTTTACTATGGTTGTATACTTGTATGATCATTGTGTGGTTTAAGGGGAAAAACTGTCAGTGTATCTACACCATGTTGTATTCATGTGATTTGTCTTTGCTGGAGTTACTTTTTGGTACGAAACAACTACTATCACTGCTGGAGTTACTGAGATGTTTTGGTTGTATGTTAAAGGCGTATGTCCATTTTTTTGAGTTCTTCCCCCCCCTCCCCCCGTCCTTCCTTGTTTCCTGAACTAATATAAATTTTCCCCCATTTGCAGTTGCATAGAAAAGATTCCCCGTTGTGTTTTGTTCTGGATGATAGTATTTTCTTAGCCACAGCCATTGCTCATCTTTGCAAAACTTCCCGTGTAATGTTGTTGTTTCCTGGGTTGCGAGAGAGAGGTTTACAGTATCTGCGAGCTACTGCTGAAACAAATCAGTTTTCTGCTGACCGTCTGAAGCTTCTTGACCACCGATTAGAGTACATCTCAATTCATGAAACAGATGGGAAGAAGGTAGCCATGGCAAAGTTTTTCATCGTACAACAATGGTTTTTCTCGAATTCATGCCATAGCTGACTGAAACTGTCAGTTAATGTTGCTTATTTTCCTTTCTGTGTAGATTGACCTGTTGGTTGGAGAGCCATTCTACTATGGATCTGAGACATGGCTTCCATGGAAAAATCTGCGATTTTGGTGACTATATTGCTACCTTGTCTGATTTTTATAAACTGCTTGTAGCTATTTGATAGGATAATGATTTTCTACCACCCTGGTTTTGCTGTGCAATTACTTTCTTTGTAGTTCTAAAATTTATAATCTTCAAGAAAGATCAAACTACTTTTTGTAGTTCAAGTCTGCAATTGCTTTGAATATACCAAAACATGGAGAAAGAAAGAGAACTAGTATGCATCACAGGATTTGGACCCAAGCTAAGGGGAGTGAAGAGGGAAAATATATCCGAAGGTTCCACTTTCCTCCTCTGTTATATGCTTAGCTTTGACTGAGCATGTGTTTATGACAGAGTTACTCTTAACACCTTAAATAAGAGAATGTTATCAATGTATCAGTGCTTAATTTCCTAATATGATATTCCATTTTAATTGTTCTTACTATGATACTTCCTCCGTCACTAAAATTTGCAACACATCCTTTTATACAATTATATAGAAACTGCATCTAAGTGAAGTTCAAATCTTGTTGCTGGTGTACAATTCCATATACTTTCTATCCCTATCTATTGTGAGCTTCTATTAGTATAGGGTCTAAGGGTCGGTACAATACTAGACTTTCAGCCTTTATTATATATGAAATACATGCTAGTCACCTTCATCTCATGATTCTTATTTAAATATTGACTTTTTCCTGCATTGATTATATTTGTGATATGAATTTAGGAAAGAAAGGACAAGGCTTGAAGGAATATTGTCCAAAGATGCTATTGTCATTCCCTGCAAAGGAATTTTACGTGTTTGTGCCATGTCTCTCCCGGTAAGAGCCCTGATATATGCTGATTGCTGGTGTGTTGGGGCGGAAATGTGACCTTATGATCTGCTTGTTAGGATCTCTGGAAAAGTCGTTGCAGTCTTACATATATTGAAGGATTTAATCATTCTGTTGCCAATACCATCCTGGGGGCATGTGGCAACTTGCCATCTCCTCAGGAGGGTCCTATACTGCCGTTCTTTGTCTGGCAAAGTGGGGAATCTAAGGTATTGATACCACTTCCTCAACGGCTCAATCCCCTACCCCCCCCCCCCCCCCTCAAACCTTTCATTTTGTATTAATATCCTTTTTTTAATTTTTTTTTATCTGCAGGAACTGAGTGAGAGGTTGACACTGATGGAATTTGACTTCTCAAAACCTATGAGTTCTTGCTCTGGTAAAGCGAAGGTACACACTCTATGCATCTTTTGCTCAGATAATGACCCATTGTTAAGTTTCTAGCTTCTAATACTATATAATTTGAATTGCTTGTATGTAAAATTCATGGTTGTTGAGTAACATTACTGGTAAAAGATATTTCTGACATTTTGTATACCTTTTAAATTGTGTCAATTGTTCTTGTGCATGGGTGTTACACATGAGTACATGTTTTACTCATTGAGAAAAAATATTTTAAGAATTAGGAATTGCATAGGTAATTTGGACATGGGCGTCTGGACATGACACATACCAATGCAATGTTCTTAGACTCCAATATGCCTTTTGCACAAACAAACATATAGAGAAGGCAGTGAAAAGGATGGAATTGTGGTGAGAGAAAACAAATGTTATTAGTTTGAATAATTGATGATCAATGTGTATTTTGAGATAACTGGAGTTACTCAAACTTTCTCAATCATTGGTATTTGGGAACCTCATTCACGAATTGATAATCCTCCCCTTTCGATATCAATTTTGTTTTCTCAAGTCCAATATTTAAGAGCGCATTCCGCAATCGACATCTATTTATATATATACTATACTATAAGACAAGCAAATCAACGTGAGGATGACAAATGTCACTCTCTCATTCGCCTGTCTTATATATATATGCGCATATATTTTGAACTAAATGTGCAGAATTCTTAAAAAATAAAAAACCAACACCTTAGGGCTTGTTTGGCATCAGTTTTGGTTTTCAGTTTCCTGTTTTTTTTTTTTAAATCAAAAACCAAAAACAGAAAACAAGAAAAAGGTGTTTCCACTTTTCTGTTGTCGGTTTTCAAAATTATCATAATTTTAATAAGTTTATATAATTTTTGATTCATTATGGGACTCATATTATATACTTTTAGAAAACAAAAAACCAAAAAACATAGCAATGCCAAACGAACCCTTAAAAATAAATTTCTCTTCCATTTTCAAGATTTTATCTACCTCTTCTCCAGCTATTGTTAATGCTCATAACTTTCTCTCTCCTCCAAGCTCCAACAATGGTGGCCAATCTACCGTAACTCACATGTACTTTCTCTCTCCAACACTTTCTTATTTGCCGTAACAACCGCTCGATGCCCACTATAACTGTCAATCTCACTCCAATTCGGTCTCTTCTTCTTCATAATCCTTCCCTCCACGGTCACCAGAATCATAATATTATTGCAGCAAAGGTTGTTGAGATAAATTTTTCGGCATCAAATTTGAATTAAATGTTATTTTTGAGTTCTTATATAATAAGACTCCTCGCTCTAGGAGTATTAAGGTCGCGTTCTGGACTTCTAGGAAGGGGTTGTAGTTAAGAGACACCTAGCCGTTCCACTAACAACGATGATGTAGAGTCGTAATAGGAGATTGGTGGTACTTTTGTTGCTAATGAATCTACAGGAGGTTGATTGTTGAAATTGTGAAAATTGAATTTGCAATATTTTTAAATTAAATTTGCATAATATTTGTACTAAATGTGCATTACTTTTGCTAAATAATGAATTTTACACTAGGTTGATTTTTCAAAGAGTGAAAAATAAATGTGTATAATTTTTGAATTAAATGTGCATAATATTTGTACTAAATGTGCATTTTGCAATGGTGAAATGTGAATTGTAGGATTCATTTGAACGTTTAAGATTCCTTCTTATGCTTCTCATTATAAGATCCTTCTCAATGGATCACAAACAAGGTGACTGTATACCCCATACATAAAAAGCCTAATATTGCTATTTTGCTAAAAATTGTTAGAAAAAATCAATGAAAATTGATGTTCAAAGAGACCGGATAAATTCTTCAAGGCACGTGATAAACGCTTTCCTAATAGTTATTTATCGACTCTCTTTGGAACAATCAAGTTACACGATAACACTATTGGGATACAATGAAAAACCAATTAGTTTTGCTTGTTCTTACAAAACTAATTCAACAAAGTTTGAGTAGAAATGTGTTTGTTTTCACTCTAAGAAAATTACTGCAGATTTTCTCTCAAAGTAAGCAAGAATGATTTGTAATTCTAATCACATCCATCATATATGTCATATAAACTCCTATTTATAGAGTTTATATGAAGAGCAGTTTTAATTCAAACAAATATGTCCGTTCACAAAGCAAACCGTTCGAAAAATTGTCAAAACCGTCATTTTTGAACTTTGCCCGGTCAGATCGCGCAATGGAGCCCTACCGGGCGCGAGCAACACTTTTGTAAAACATGTAAAAACTGACAAACCCCCTTCGCCCTGACAGACCGGGCAATTGAGCCCTACCGGGCGCGAGCAACATCTCAATGAAATTGAGATAATTGACAATTTTTACTCGTGCTCGCCCTACAGGGCGAAGCACAAATTTGTCAATTTTGCCTTGTTTTGTCACTTTTATACATATTGCTTTGCTATACCAAGTATAATCATTATACTAATCTCCTCAACTCCTAACATAATATAAACTTCATATATGATGCATAAGCTCCATTTATTCCATAAATGTTCCAACAAAAATTAAACAAAATCACGTGTAAAATTTTGCTTGAGACCTAAATTATTAACATAATTAATAAAATAATTTGGAGAATCATTACCAAAATAATCAATAATATATCTTACTCCTATTTACCCAAGTTCTACCCTTTTCAACTCATCTTACGCCTCTTACCTCTCACTATATACACCATTTTTACACACTCTTTCTTATTTATCCACCTTTTTATACACGCACCCACCTATTAACCAAATCTCTTTTACATTATTCATTTTTTTCTTACATTTTTTTTTTTTTTTTTTATTTTTTTTTTATTAACATCTCCTAGAAACAGGAATCTACACTATATGAGTTGAACTTTTTTTAAAAAAAATCTAGGAACAAATGGACTAATATTTATTATTAAAGTATTATTTCCTCTATTTTTAAAATTATTTTTTTGATTCACAACTAAAATTTCCACAAAATGTCAAAGTATTTCCACTCAAAAATTTATACTTACTGTGATAAACTAAATGTTGCTGCTATTTGCTCTTAAACCTGTAGAATCATTTTAATTCTTGAATAATAATAGGCAAAGTTTACATCACAAACACATGGGAATGAATTGCATATGTATCATGTCAGTTGTGGCATATACCTGTGTGCGTGGTACCATGTTCAAGCTTATGAATCTTCTTTCATCAATTTAAATGCCCATGATTTTTTTTGACAACTACTAAACAAACAAAAGGAAGAAACAAAGGATCAAAACTAAAACCCAGTCGAATGCCTTATCGAGCCCTGTCATGTGCGGCTGCCACCATAACTCTATCGACCTTGCGGATAAAACAAACCTTGAACTGTGTCCTTCGGTCCTGATTTCCTGGAGAGTCAGGTGAGGTGAGCAGGTGAGTGACCAAATTAAAGGAGTCAGTATAAATTTCCACATAGCAAAGATGCATTGGTAACACCCAAGTCAAACATTGAAAATAGGCCAGAGACTTTGTGTGTATAGCCGAGTAGCTGACCCAGCTGAGGTGTAACATTAATACAACATGCATTGATAGTCACGCACAAGTCAGTGTAATTAATGTTACATTTTCATTTGTTTTTTCCATTTTTAGCTTTTTATATGTAGCCCTAAGGGTTATGTATAAAATTTTCCATTAAACTAATGTATGTTTAATTTAATAATTAGTACTACCTCCGTTTTTTTAGTTGACATGTTTTGACTTTAGCACTATTCACACACTTCCCTTTGACCGTGTTTTGTGATTTATACGTAATGAAAAATATATTCTTGTGGGGTCTTGTTAGATTCGTCATGGTATACATTTTCAAAATATCAACTTTTTATAATTTTTGCTTATCGGTAATTAAAGATATTAACGATTAAATTTGTGCATAGGCAAACATGACTAAAGAAACGTGTCAACTGAAAAGAAACGAAGGAAGTATAAGCTTTAAGTCTAGATGGCCAGAGCTTGAAAAAGTGAAAACTATCTTGTTTATTAGAGAAGAAATGTGAGGATTAAGACAATTCTAAAATGCAAGGATAGTTTGAGAATTTTGTTAAACCTCAGTGTAGCCATTTCCCTATCTATTTTTTTTTAGGTAGAAAAACTAAACATATATTTGTAGAGGTCTTCCTATTGCGATGTACAATTTAGCTTGCCTGAACGATACATATGTTTCCTATACGTCATAGCCTGAGCTTTGGGGTGGTTCTCATCAGAAAGTAGCGATGTACAATGCCATTCCTTTTTTTTTCTCTCTTCTCTGGAAGCATTTTTAGAACATAAGAAATTTGCTTTATGACAGCACTCTTATGCATGAAAGTTGACTTCATATGAACATTCTGCTATACTACAGGTTAAGTTTACCGGGACTGGTATATGCCATGGCTTTGTTCTTTGGATTGATTGGGTATTAAGTGCAGAAAACGATAGTGTTGTATCAACTGGCCCAGGTATTAAGCAATAGTAGATAAACTTCCTTGTGAAATATTACATCCTTTTATACATCATTACATTTATGTTATTAAAGCAATAGGACATATTGACTGATTTGCTTGTATACCCCAGATCATAGACAATGGAAGCAAGGGGTAAAGCTGTTAAAAACCCCTGTGGCTGTCAGTAGTCAGGATCATATGTCTTCTGATGATTTTCATTCAGTGGAAATGGAGGCAAATTTTGATTCGGCCAATGGTGATCTCATGATTCAATATGTCTTTGTATAATGAGAAGAATTGTTAGCATAAAAGTATATGCATTTGATCTGTCTTTTCTTGCAAAATCTTACACTCGGGTAAGATGGATGCTTTCTATTTTCTTGCCTTTGTAGTCGTCGCAGCCCTTAGTAGAAATGTATGTGCGCTTTCAGTGGTCTTTCCCTGCAAATTTGCCAACAGCAGTCTTTCTTGGTTGACTTTTATAATTACTACAAGAGGGTGAGGGAGTGAAAATTTTAAGTTCACGCCTCTAAGAGCATGCACAATGGTTGTCCACAACCATTGTGCTTATTGATTATTTTATTAATTTCTACATCTTTCACCTCACCTATAACCACTCTTATACCCATTTAATAACCAATGTCTCTCAATAGTTAACCACGTCTTTTTGGTTATATATTTTCTCTCTCCTACTTTTACCCAACTCCACCATACAATATCTCTTTTAAATCCTATCATATATAACTAATACACTTGGTAATAATCAATTAAAACTAATAATTATTATTAGCATACAATAATTAAATAAAATGACTTATGTTTAAAATTAATGCATTATATTATTTAATTAGTAAGTAATTAGTCGTTAATTAAGAAATACACAATAATTGCAACTTTACTAAATTCGATAATAATAAAAAATAGTACATATTCTATCAAATGACAACAATCTTTAAAAGATAAAAATGAACCGTGCTTGAGTACAAATACAATAATTTAATGTTACGATTATACAACTATTAACGCAAATTATTTTGCCTACTGTGGACACCGAACTTGAGCCACATATGTTCAACTAAGTCTTTCTTTAAGGCTTTATGCATAGCTTCATCACGAACACGAGCTCTATTAGACACATAAATTTCCAAACTTGCAATTCGGTTGTTGCTATTTTCGAACTGAAAAGGCTCTTCAGTGTTTCTATTACTTGAAGACGCGTTTGTAGCTTGATCATAATCATTTGGATTGTAATACGTTTTATACTTATCTCTTTCGTCCTCAACGATCATATTGTGCATAATGATACATGCTATCATTATTTTTCCTAACATTGATGCGTCACGAGCTAGCGCAGGATTCCGTATTATTGCAAAACGAGCTTGTAATACTCCAAAAGCACGCTCAACATCCTTTCGTCTAGCTTCTTGTAATTTGGCAAAAGACCTTCTTTTTCATTTTGTGGTAGTGATATTGTAGGAATGAATGCTGCCCATTTAGGATATATGTCATCAGTGAGATAATATCCCATATTGTAATGATGGTCATTCACAACATAGTTAATAGAAGGTGCACGACCTTCAAAAACATCGTTAAACAAAGGGGATCTATCAAGAACGTTAATATCATTACGACTACCTGGTGTCCCAAAAAAAGCATGCCTGATCCAAAGTTCATATGATGCCACAGCTTCCAATATTAATGTGGGCTTACCTGGTCTTCCAGAAAACATATCTTTTGTAACACAAGCATATTTGGGACATTTTGATACAACATGATGCGTGGAAACCAAGTGAAGATATTGTTCAAAAATGCAAGCAAAAAACATCTTCTAAAGGAAGTGACTCAAAGAGATCACATATCAATGAAGCTGGCAACTACTCATCTTCATCAAACCCGGAAACACCAACCAGTGGTGATATTGGGTATTCAGGCTTGCCTTCCAGCAACGAATCTAGCAAAAATAAAGGAAAGAGAAAGATGACAAATATGCCACTTGCAGCATGGCAACAATGGACACGACCCAGAACATGAACCTTATAAGACAATCAGAAAATCAAGTGGAAGTTACAAGGTTGCAACTAGAAAGGGAGAAAGAAGCAAGGAAGCAAAGAAAGATTAATATGGAGTTATTTAAACACCTCGATTCAAAGCCAAACCTATCTTCGGAAGATCAAGAACTAAGGAACAATTTATTGAAGAAGTTGTTCCCCTCAGACTGATGTACTAGGTGTATGGTTAATCATAGTTTAAATGTTGCTTAGCTTAATTTCAAATAATTTGCTTTTTAGTTTTCTGTTTTATGTACTAAGGTTCGATTTTTATTTTCGCAATTTTTAATGTGTTGTTGATTCAGGATATGAATGAATGTTACATTGTAATGTTATTACTAATATAAAAAAAAAACAAGTTTATTAACAATTTAGTATTAAAATCGTATTATACGATACACTTTATATACATATAATTATTATTGATTTGACTAAACTCATCAATTCACTTTGATATTTCATAGCAAAAGATGTTAATTGATTTACATTACACTGAAAAAGAATTGATGTACCCAACACTGAAAAGCAAATATTAGATATTAGACATTGATATACTTAACACTGAAAAGGTAATAGTAACACTATATTGCTTTTACGTACATAACAATGTTAAGATGATATTGACAATACAAAAGCATGCATCTACATTACTAAAAAAATATTAATTTTTTTTTCTGAATCAATGCATGCATGCAAGACTTCAAATTCACCATATAAGACAATAAAGATGACTACATACCCAACACATTTGTTCTATAAAATGGATGAGATACATTTCACTTGATTAACCATCCATTTTTTTCCCTAAAAAACTTCTACCTTCCATTCTCATATCAACTTGGTTTTTAATAACATGTCATCCGACGAAAGCTCCAACTCTTCTAACTCTTCATCCAATTCAGAAAATAGCCAAACACAACGATATGAAAGACAAAGGCAAGCCAATCGTCTTGTTAACCGAATGATGGATGAAGTTTTTATGTCCAATCCAATTGAAATATATCAAATGTTAAATCAAGTTCCAAGGGAACAAAGGATCCCCGTTCCAAGGGATCGTGAGGATGGACACAATCGTTTATGGAATGACTACTTTGCTGACCATCCTGTGTTTCCCCCACAGTTATTTCGTCGGAGATTTTGTATGAACAAATATATATTTCTCCGAATAAAGCAAACTTTAGAAGAACGTCATCCCTTCTTTCAACAAAGACAAGATGCTACAGGAAGATTTGGTGCCTCCGGATTGCAAAAATGCACAGCTGCTATGAGGCTAATAGCTTATGGCACCTCTGCTGATTCTGTAGATGACTACATTCGAATTAGTGCATCTCTTGCAAGAGATTCACTACAACATTTTGTGGAAGGAATTGTCTCTTATTTTAGTGATGAATACCTTAGAAAGCCCAATGAAGAAGATCTAGTAAGACTACTAAGAATTGGTGAACGTCGAGGATTTCCAGGTATGCTAGGTTCTATTGATTGCATGCATTGGCGGTGGAAAAATTGTCCACTTCGATTAAAAGGTGTAATCCCCCGTATTTTTAAATATTTTATATATGAAAATTTATTTTATTTATAATATTTATTTGTTATTTTTCATAATTTAATTTCAAAAGTTTCAAATTATTAAGCTGGGTCGAAAATTATTTGAACAAATTATTTTATGCACCTTTATTCTACAATTTATGTCCAATCAAACAAGCCTAACCCATTTGTATATTTAATTGACCCATTATTTTTATGAGGCTCAATCTTCCTTTTTACCCTACAATAATTCTCTCCTATAAATACCCCATGAATCTCCAAAAATTTCCCACACAAAAAGGTTAGTCTTATTTTCTCTCTCCTTTGTTTTATTAATTTGTAATTATAATTATTGATTTATGGATTTTGATTTTATTGTTTGAAAGTAATTTAATTAGTATCAAGTTGTATTTTGATGATTAAACTTTATAATTTCAGATTTTATAAGTGTCATAATTTTTCAGATTTTGTAAATTTTATAACCTAGGGTTTTTAATTATTGAAAATCATGATTTTAGGGTTTTTATGAACAATTGATTTAGGGCTTTTATAGTAATGATGTTTTGAAATTTTGGTGATTATAACTAATGATTAGCTTAAATTAATTCCAGATTATTTTGAACACTTAAATTCGTGTTTTAATTTTAAGATTTTCGTTCATTAATATTAATCCCGATCAGGTTCTGAACTCATCCGATTTTTATGAAAAAGTAGTGTTTTTCATGTGAAAACAACGTTTTAAGAAAGCCTCACTACCTTTGGTTGTGTTCACCACCCTCTCGTGGCCAAATTCAGCCTCTAAATATGATTTTCGGGCAGTTTTTGATTTTAACGAAGTTTTTTTCATACTTAAAATATTATCCTTGAGTTTGATTAATAAAATTAATTATGTTTAAATTTAAGCATAAATATATGTTTTTATTGAATTTTTAAGTGTTGGAAATAGTTTCTAAGTACTACTTTTGATGTTTTATAAAGAGGGTTTAATCACCCATTAAAAAGGGAGATTATAAGGGGTTTTAAAATAAATTTCAGATTTTTATTAGACTTTGAACTTGCTGTGATTTCATGTATAAGAGTGTATTTTAAGGTTTTTATGAAGAAAATTTAAAGAACTATATATAAGCCTTTAATTTTAACTAAAGGGAAGGTTTTAAAGTGATGTTTGATTTGGATTTTGAAGGTTTTAAAGTAAGTTAGTATTGCTGTAAATTTGATTGATTGGGTATTGATTGAGATGTTATTATTTGGTCAAGGAGAGGAGTTTATTGAAGGTGATTTATAGTTAGTAAAGTGGCATACCAATTCGTTTGCTCAAGGTACGTACAAGTTACGAAACCTTTATTTTAGGTGCATGTTTAAGGACGACGGATCGAGAACTTAGTATCATGTATAGGGATGACTGAGTTAAATTGTTTGGTTATACATTGTGAATTTCGTATGACGTGCACTATTTTATATTGCAAGTATTATTTGTGCTCTAATTATGCAAGGTGCACTTAGAGGCAAAGGTATATGATTGGTGTAATGATTAATTTATTACTCATTCATGATTATGCAAGTAGGATGAGTAAAGGAAGAATTTAAGTCTTCTAAGACGAGGTTAAGGTTTTGGGGTGCCTTATGCACTCAAGGTGTTTATACACCGAGGTAGTAAAGGAATAAATAATAAATGTTGCTTGCCACTAATAAATCAAGAATTGAAATTGAAAAGTTGTTTTACTTGATTGAATTGATATTGGATTGATTGTATTGTTTTGCATATGAGTCATCACCAAGTCTAAACCTATAAATCACGTAAAGTGCAAGATGGATGAGTAATAAAACTCTGGATTGGTGCACTTCTGTAGTAATGACAATCAAGGGTTGGGGTACATGGGGTATTAGCCGTGTACTTTTCTCGAGGCCGTCTGATCTACCAGTCCCTTATTTCAAATATTTTTCAAAACTAGGAGTTATGTGAGATCTCATACTAACTACGGTCACGGAGTCGCACTTATTGATGTTTCCGAAAGGAGGCATGGGGTTTTTCTTTTATTGATGTTCCAAATGGAGCATGGGTTGGACAACCTTGTCTATTGCGTAATCCAATGAATAAAAATAATGATTTACCTATTATTAATTAATGGAGTCTTAGTAATATAAATAGTCGAGTCGTGTGTTGAGTCTATAATTTAATGATGCATGATGATTGATTATTAGTAGCATGTTATGGATTTCTTAATTTATTTTGCAGCTTGTATGTACTCAGCTTTGCTGATTGCGTGCTTTGTGTGTCTTTCTTTGGTCATGACCTTCGCCTTTCAATGACCCTGTGACGATCCAATTTTTACACTTGTAATATTGGGGAGCAGAATTACCACAGGTTCTTACACAAGCAGCATTCATCAGGGTTGTGGGATCTTGAGTAGAGAGTTGGTTGTTTGCATTTTGTTTCTTTTGCAAGTTTGAATTTATTTTAATTCGATTTTATTCGACACTATTTCTTTTGGGTTTGAATTTATTTGAACACTGAATTTAATCACTTACTACTTTTATTGGGGTTTTGAATAAGGGCCTTAATGGTTCCAAGTTGTATGACTTAATTTGGTTTCATTCGTTGGTTTTGAAACTTATTTATAACTGATTTAGTTTTTCCACTGCTATTTTTTGATAAAGCCTTAACGTTTGAACACGTGGCGGTAGCACGCCAATAATTCTCTTGAATATTGTTCAGGGTCCTCACAGGTTTAAAGAGAGAATTATTGGGGTGTTACAAAAGGTATGTTTTCTGGAAGACCAGGTAAGCCCACATTAATATTGGAAGCTGTGGCATCATATGATCTTTGGATCTGACATGCTTTTTTTTGGGACACCAGGTAGTCGTAATGATATTAACGTTCTTGATAGATCCCCTTTGTTTAACGATGTTTTTGAAGGTCGTGCACCTTCTATTAACTATGTTGTGAATGACCATCATTACAATATGGGATATTATCTCACTGATGGCATATATCCTAAATGGGTAGCATTCATTCCTACAATATCACTACCACAAAATGAAAAAGAAGGTCTTTTGCCAAATTACAAGAAGCTAGACGAAAGGATGTTGAGCGTGCTTTTGGAGTATTACAAGCTCGTTTTGCAATAATACGGAATCCTGCGCCAGCTCGTGATGCATCAATGTTAGGAAAAATAATGATAGCATGTATCATTATGCACAATATGATCGTTGAGGACGAAAGAGATAAGTATAAAACGTATTACAATCCAAATGATTATGATCAAGCTACAAACGCGTCTTCAAGTAATAGAAACACTGAAGAGCCTTTTCAGTTCGAAAATAGCAACAACCGAATTGCAAGTTTGGAAATTTATATGTCTAATAGAGCTCGTGTTCGTGATGAAGCTATGCATAAAGCCTTAAAGAAAGACTTAGTGAACATATGTGGCTCAAATTCGGTGTTCACAGTAGGCAAAATAATTTGCGTTAATAGTTGTATAATCGTAACATTAAATTATTGTATTTGTACTCAAGCACGGTTCATTTTTATCTTTTAAAGATTGTTGTCATTTGATAGAATATGTACTATTTTTATTATTATCGAATTTAGTAAAGTTGCAATTATTGTGTATTTCTTAATTAACGACTAATTACTTACTAATTAAATAATATAATGTATTAATTTTAAACATAAGTCATTTTATTTAATTATTGTATGCTAATAATAATTATTAATTTTAATTGATTATTACCAAGTGTATTAGTTATATATGATAGGATTTAAAAGAGATATTGTGTGGTGGGGTTGGGTAAAAGTAGGAGAGAGAAAATGTATAACCAAAAAGATGTGGTTAACTATTGGGAGACATTTGATTATTAAATGGGTATAAGACTGGTTATAGGTGAGGTGGAAGATGTAGAAATTAATAAAATAAGCAATAACCACAATGGTTGTGGGCAACCATTGTGCATGCTTTAAAGGTTGGAAAAAACTTGTGTGGACCTGTTCACAATAATTTTATTGCAGACTTGAAGTCCACACGTGCCAATCGGCGTTATGTTGAATATAATAACCTTAATTTCAACACAATTACTTTTATTAAAACCTGTGTGGACCTCAGGTGTACAATAATGTGCCAACTAATGTTACATGGAATATAATGACTCTAATTTTGATATTAATATAGTGACCTTTATCATTCCAGCACGTTTCTGATGCGGCTGGCCGCACGGTGCGACAATGTGTCACATCAGTAACCCCCCAAAGTAACCACTTTAGTAACCCCTCAACTAACCCCTCTAGTAACTCCACTTAAGCAACCCCTCAATTAACTCATCTAGTAACCTTTTAAATAACCCCACTTAAGTAACCCTTTAACTCATTTGGTAACCCCTTAAGTAACCCTTTAAGTAACCCTCGACCTAGTAACCCTTTACCAGATTTAGTAACCCCTAACCCATCACTAACAGAAAACTACCACCCACCCAAAACACCACCATCATCATCTAACCCCAAGAAATTGATATTATATTGAACTTAATAATCCAGTTTTATCTATTTCCAGGTTTCTATTTGTTCTTTAATTTGACAAATTATGGTGGACAACAAAACTTCTAAAAGCGCATCATCATGTCATCATGTTCACAAATGTTCCTCAAATTATTCACAAAAATTAAGCCTCTAAAATCGAAAAGTAAGAAGAAGAATACAGTAACATCTTATTGCAGTCTAGACGCCTTCCTTTTGAGCTTGAATATAACATGCTCGAAAGGTTTTCGGCTAAATCTCTTCTCCGTTTCCAGCGACGGAGTAACCAAACCACCACTACCCTCCCAGCGAAGCCACCACTTTCGAGGAACGAACCACCAAACAACGAAGACGACTATTGATGACAGTTGTAAACTTTGTGTTCTCTGAGAAAATGAGATGAAGGTTCTAGCTTGAAGAAGAAGAAAAGAGGAGAGAGAAGAGAGCGAAAAACAGTTTTAAAAAAAAATAAAATAAAATTGTGACTGGCCGCACGGTGTGACCAGCCACATATAAAACTTTGTGTTATCATTCATATTTATTTTATATTATAAAAATTCATTATAAAATATAATAATCTCTTATGAACTTTGTTATATCCCAATGCCTATTATTTTAACATAATAACCTTTATGTATTTTTGGGTTAATTATCTTCTTATGTCATAACTCATAGGTTTTTGTTTTTTAATGATGTTCTTTGGTATTATACTAGCTATTTTGCTGATGTAGTAAACAATAAAAATTCAAATTTGCAATATACGTATGAAAGGGACGAAAATTATGGAAACATTAATTTCATTTATGAGATACGAGTTACTTTTTTTGTAAATCTCTTGAATCTCTCCTCTAAGGGCTAGGGTTTTACTATGTTTATGGAACATACGATATCAACTTAATCCATATTATGAACCTATAACGGTTAGTAACAGAGAGGAAATGAAAGTCTTTGTGACTTTTTCCATCTAAAGCTTAATGAGACTCTAAAAACAAAAATTGTAATATTGAATTGCAGATTAGAGAATATGATAATTATTATATAATTCACGAAATTCTTAAGAAAATATCTTTTATTTATGATGCATAGTGAGCATTATACATATGCAACTACTACCATAATTCCCCCCAGTAATTTACGCTGTTAAGTTCCTCCTAAAAATATGCACTTGAGAATTGCAACTTTTTGGAAGGAAAAAAACAAAGGCACCATATAACAAAAGAAGACGCCTTGTTAATTTGTTATACAATAATCAGTCTGATTAGTTTGCACTCTCAGTTCTGAGAAAGAATCAATTAAAACAAAAATGTTCCAGCCATTTAAAGCCTCAAACAAAAATGATACATATGGCATAATTATTGCATTATTGACTAGATAATCACAATAAGAAGATATAACTATAAATATTGTACTGTACTACTGTGTCTTTATTTTTACTTTTGTGATAATTGAACATAAGACTACAGTATGACCTTTGTGATGCTTTACGGGCCTCAAACAAGCTATAGGTGCTTCATAGGTGATTTAAGGGAGGTGATGATGCTCTTGTTACTGAAGAAAAAGTCTAGAGCTTGTGAGCTTCCTGGGGTATCCGCAGCTCCTCACAGTCTTCAACCACCACCTATTTGTAATCATGTGAACAAATTAAAACTTACTCCTATTAACAAAGCTTACAATTATCTAACAAAACAAATAAAATTACCTGGTAGTTTTGACCGTTGCATGTGTACCTGACCAGCAGTTTCTTATGTTCTCCTGGACATGGGTCACAAAACCCCATAATACCTGATTTCTTCACACCTTCATGAAGCTGTGCCGAAAGGAAAATTAACCAAGTACTTCGATAGCAATATTCACACACAAGTACAAAACCACAATGCATGTCATTGGGTTAAGGCAAGAAAATTATAATAAGACATTGAAGACAAGGCAGGCAATGTTTGGCCTCGATTCCAATTAACCTGGCAGGCATTCAAATCTATCTCACCTAAACATTTCTCATATCATAGTTGAAGCTTAGAAACCTGAACATAGTCAAAACAAATATTTTGAACTGCCATTACAATTTACAAATAATTTGAGTGCTCAAACATCTGTTTTGAGTTTGTTGATTTGCCTTATCATTATAATTGACAAATCAATCTTTGCAGCTCAAAAATTTAAAGGAAAAAATAGACGGAAAAGCCAAGGAATATCAAAATTCAAATTGAAATACAAGAAATTGCATGCTTTCATAAGAAACTAACAGGGATCATACCTGTAGTTGCCCCAAATCATTAACCAAGAAATTCAGAGGTATAGTAACATCAATAACTTGTGAAGCCAATTCATCACTTGATTTTTCCACATCATCCAGCTTTTTCAGAGCTTTTGCACTTCCATAAACTGCTTTTGTGATGATCAATCCACCAATTTCAATTTGTTTATTCATCTTTCTATTGGCCACATTTTCTAACAGCTGCTGAGCCTTTGCTGCTGCTACTCTAGCTTCACGAACCTAGATCAAAGTGTTGGGGATAAAGTGATTGCCAGACATATATCATAATCTCATAGATGGCAGAGATTTCAAGTCCCAACTCCAAACACATAAACACTTCCCTGTTCAAAACGTTAAAAAAGAAATTTGGAAAGGGAAAAGAAATGGCAGAAAAACATGATCATATTCCCCGAGCAAACATTAGTCACTTAATGTATGGAATTAGAGGGGAAGAAGTTGTACATACTTAAGATTGATCAGGGAAAAAAAAAAGGTGGACTGTTTCAGAAAATATTCCTAAGATTTATTTTCTAATCCAACAAGGTTTAAATTAATGGGACACTTCTCTACATTAATTTTAAGAAGAAAAATACAGAGTACAATATTATCATAGGAGACTCTATAAAAAAATCCAGAAACTACATCAACAGTTTTCTATAACAGGCTAATAAATCATCAGTGTTCTACTTGTAGCTACAATGGCAACCCTTTGGCCTCCTTTTTTTTGATAGTAAGCATGAATTGTATGCATTCAGAAGTAACACAGTTCAAGTAGCATATATAATTATGTTATACCTGCCCTGAGGTTTTCTCCATGATTTCTACTGCCTTGTGCTTCTCTCGTTTAAGGTAATAAGGTTTGGCAACAAATTTCTGCAAAACAAAGTATAAATAATAACATATCGCTTAGCATCACTAGTTTACTTCTGCAAGACAGGCGTAAAAGTACTGCTGGCTGTCTGCCTAATTGATCAAAAGTATTTCCCTCTTTTGGGAAGAGCTATAAAGAATGGTGATGCAAATATAAATTAACCTCAAGCCACCTTACAAGTTAGTAAGTTACCACTAAGCTAATTGTCATTCACTTATATAATCTCATTATAAATTAATGTAATAAGGTGACACCCCCCAAAAAAAAAAGACCATAATCCCATACAATTCTTGAGGAGTACAAAACCTATGTAACATTTGCTTGCATCAAAATGTGTGAAAAGTACTTCCATGGGTCCACAACAGGTTGTGAATTACTCTCCCCCCCCCCCCCTCCCTCCGTCCCCAATTAGATTTCTCATTTGGGTTGGACACGAATATTGAGGGGAGACATTGTAGTGAGGTTATGGTAATGCAAATATGTTGTTTAGAAGT